GTACTTCACATTTCAACACCCTAAAGAGTGGGTAGGTTATACAAGTGTTTGGAAACGTATTTAAGGTGCTTCACATTTCAACACCCTAAAGATTGGGTCAAATTCTTGTCCTAGTGATAAGATTCCAAATAGAATTGACGTAAAAAAATTTAGGATTTGGAATTAATTAAGAACAGAAAATTAGGAATTGAAAACAAAATAGAGAAAACTTGAATAAAAGAATATGTCACAAACAAAGTTTGATAAGTTTAAGGATAATCACTACAAGAATTAGTGAATTCTTTATAAGATCAAAGATGAAAAAAAAACCCTAACAAAGAAATATTCTCACTTTAACAAGAATTATTTGTTGCCTCTTTTTTTTTATTCAACAATCATACATAAAAAAAATTAGGATTTTCTTGAACTTGACTTTATTTATCATAAAAGAAAAAGAAAACCAAAAAAATTAAAACTAATTCAATATTAAACTAATGATCTTGGGTTCAAATCTCAATTCCACAATAAAAAAAATTATTTTAACTTTCAAAACAATACACATGTAACTAGTTTAACATCCTTACTTAAGTCTTTGACTATTAGACTTCTCATAAAAGAGACACATTTTGTTGTAAAGCTTCTTAAATCTTTTTAATTTTTCCTCTAGTCATTGGTCTAATTAAGTTTTCAATTATATCTTTATCTTTCTTTGACCTTGGATTTTTATGTCCACATCATCGGGGCAAAATTCTGATATAACACTTCCTATCACCATAGCACTAGAATGAATCCTTTTAAAATTGTATATGGAAGACCCCTCAACTAGTCAAATATATACCAGACCCAGGACATTTTATCTCAATGCAGGAGCAGTTGTTGCAGAGAGACATTATTCTCTCCCAACTTAAGCCGAATCTTCATCAAGCTCAACAATTAATGAAGAAAAATGCATATAAAAAATAGATGAACGTGGAGTTTAATGTTGTAGATAAAGTTTTGGTCAAGTTGCAATCCTATAAACAACACTTCGTTGCTTTAAGGAAGAACCACATTAAGTTTGAGGTACTTTGACCCATTCGCAATTATTGAAAAGATTCACAAGGTTGCTTACAAATTATCGTTACCCGATACTGCTAAAATTCATCCAATTTTTTCACACTTCGCAGCTTAAACTTTGTAAGGACAATCATTCTCAATCTTATATTCCATTACCTATCACTTCCGATGATGCACAACTGGTATTGCAACCAACTGCTATCCTTCAATCTCGGGTGATTATTAAGGACACTAAGCATGTTCATCAACACTTAGTCCAATGGGAGGGATTGGATAAAACTCAAGCAACCTGGGAGAATCACACGACATTAGAGTCTGCTTTTCCTTAATTCAAACTTGGGGACAATGTTCTTCTTAATGGGGGAGGAAATGTAATGAAGCGAATTACAAAAAAGACAAATGAAGAGAATATGAGGACAACTCATAAACAGATGTACGACTAAAGGACTATGTGTGGGAAGAAGATTTGCATAAGAATCTGGATGGGTGAAAGGAGAAAGGAGGAGTGAGATAAAAAGTGTGCAGAACCTTCCTCTCTTAGGTTCAAGTCTGCTATACTTATAGTCTGATTCCCTTTTTATGTAGTGAACGTTTGCTAGTAAATAATACAATTACAGAGCTTCTTCTTTTTCCATAAAACTCTCTACTGTTGTGTTATTGTGCCTTTGTTACAAGTACGGTTGAAAATATCTGTTGGATATGGTAGAAAACATCCAAAGGCCAATAGTTCTACCTCAGAAGAATCTGAAAAATCATATACTATTTATGCATTTCCCAAGATATCATCCAAGATGCGGATTGGTCCCATATGACCCAATTTGTTAAAGAAGCCTCGTACCAACACATTCCAAGTGGCAATATTGGGAAATATTCCATTATTTAACATTTTATTTAGATATACAATTGCCTCTTCGATGCCTAACCACTTGCATATGCCCCACAAAAGGCTAGTGTGTGCTATTATATCGGAACAGAATTCCTTTCCTGCTGTAAATTTATCCAAAAGCTGGATGGCAGTTCTAACCTTACCCAACTTAGAGTATTCATAAATAACTATATTAACCGTAATTGCATCTGGCTTCACTCCAGTCACCAACATTCTCCCCAAAACCTGCAAAACCCATTCCTGCATTCCATGACTAGAAAATCCATACATAATAGTGTTGTAAGTGACGGAATTTAGCTCCACCTTCCTCTCTTCCAAATTTCTTACAAGCTCGCAAGCTTCTCTAAAACCATTGTTGACACTAAACAGCCCATCCAACAATTCGTTATAGGTTCTTATATCAGGAAAACACCCATAACTCTGCATCTGATCAGCCACACGCATCGCCCATTGCACTCTTCCACCACGACACAAGCCCTTGATAAAGGTGTTAAATGTAACAACGGTTGGAGGACAACCATCAGCAACCATACTATCAATAAGCCGAAAAGCCTGGTCAAACATAGAACTCTTACACAGAACATCCACCATGGAGGTACACACCACCACATTAGGGCGAACCCCACAATTCACCATCCTGTTCCACACTTCAGAAGCGCCTTGCAAATTGCCGGCTTTCGCAAACCCATGAACAATTGTGCTATAAGTGGTCACATTCGGCCGGCAAAACCAATCCTTCTCCATCTGATCACAAACTGCCACAGCCTCATCCACCTTCCCATTGCAGCACAAGCCATACAGGAGGGTGTTGTATACAACAACATTCGGCCGAACCCCCTCCAACAACATAAGCCTCCACAACTCAACTGCCTCCCCCACTCTCCCTCCAAAGAAATGCCCTTTCATCAAAGAACTAAACACGTGAACATTCGACCTGCAACCTCTCCTCATCATCTGCCCGAAAACCGCGAGCGACAACTCAACCTCCCCAACATCCGAAAGCCAATTAATAACACTAGAGTAACTCATAACATCAGGATCAACCCCTTTCCCCACCATCTCATTCATCAAACCAAACACCTCCCCAATTCTCCCCTCCTTACACAATCCACAAACCAAAGCATTGCAAACAGACACCACAGTCTCAACCCCATATCTCTTCGCCGCCTCCCACGCCTCATCCACCCGACCATCCCTACACATCCCCGCCACAACCGTCGTGTAACTGACCTTATCCGGGACACACCCTCTCTTGGACATTTCCACAAGCAGCTTGCAGGCACCATCCACCTTCCCGTTTTTACACAGCGCCTTCAAAAGAATATTGTAAGTAAACACATTAGGCTCCAACCCCTCACCCTTCATGTTTTCATAAACAGCCCCAATGACGTGAAACCTATTTTTAGCTTCACCAACCAGTGCATCAAGCAAGTGGTTGTAAATTTTCACAGTGGGCTTACACCCAAACTCCTTGATCCTGTAAAACATCTTCAAAGCTCGCTCGCCCAATCCAGCTCTCTTGTAAGAGTTCAAAACGCATATGAACAAGTCCTCGGAACAGGGAACGCCTTCGATTTTCATCTGCTGAAGGAGATAGTGAATGCTATCAATTTCCACGTTGCTCCTTCCGAGTTTCTTGATCATGATGTGGTAGGTTAAGGGTGTGTGTTTGAAGGCTGTGGAAGTTGCCAGGTATTGGAAGTGTTGGAGCGCACGCGTGACGTCTGGCTCGCGGCGAAGCGCTTGGGCCACGTGGAGCTCGGGGATGGGGTAGGAGTGTGGTGGGTCTAGGTGGCGCGTGGGAAGCACGAAGGGTATTGAGGGTTTGCGATGTTTAAGTAAGAGGGAATAACCATCTTTCAAGTACATTTTATTATTTCTTGGTGAATGAATGAATAGAAGGAATCGTTGAGAAGGGAATAAAACACGAATTCTATGGAAGTTCTGAAGAATTGAGAGTGAGGACCAACATTTCTATCATTTCTTCAAAGTATCGTTGAGAAATCAAAATAAAAACTTTGTCAATCTCTCCATTATTTCTTGGTAATATCAACAGAAAGATAAATCATTTTTTTCTACATTTTATTGTATATATTTTAGGTTTAATTATAATTTTAGTTCCCATATTTTATAAAACTCACAATTAGTTCTTAAATTTTTTTTCACAATTAGTTCTTAAAATTTTTTTCACAATTTTAATTCTATAATATTTAATTATCTGTATTTTTGTCTCTAAAACTTTTTTTTTTACATAATTTTTAATTATCCATAACTTTATTCAATTTTCAATATTCGTGATAGCAATTCATTATAACTTTAAAACCTAGAAACTAAAAAATAAATATTTGAATATTAAAAACTAAAACTACAAAAAAAGGTAAAATATTGGGATTGAAAATACAATTAATGTGAACAAAATTACAATTAAGTACAAAAAAATTTAATCAATAAAATATAACACTTTATAATAAAGTTCTAAAAAAAATAAAATCAATTATTTTATGTAAACATTCTTTCTTAACTTTTTTAAACTTAGTTTTATCTTGTTGAGAAATTTATTTTATTTATTTTTCTTGTAGAAAGTTGAATAAAAGGAAAATTGGTGCGCATTATTGATGGTTTCAATTTCCCACTGGAACGTACATAGCATTTTAAACGTGTTTGACACATGCGAATTTCCCATGCCACACGTTAAAATACGTGCTAGTCCTGAATCCTAGAATTTCACTATGGAACCAGATAAGGTTTGGAAAAAAATATCTCAACATAAATTTGGAATATAAAAAATGAAATGTCCTAGGAAGAACAATAATAATGATAACAACAATGTCAAGCACCAAGCTAAATTATCAAACAATGTCACAGATAATCAACTCTCGTGTCTTGAAAAAACAAAAAATTTACCCAGTTGGGAACAGAGTCAAAACTTTGATTACAGTAAAATCTCACTTTGACATGCACCATGTCATATCTAACTCTTATTTCCAATCTCACCAACTACTTCCATGGCTATAAAATGTCGAAACTAAAACCTTAAGCCTGAAAATTTTGGAAAGAATACAACTTCCATCAGATCCTCTCAAAGGGCTGACAGGCTGTTGCTAGAAGAGGTAGACATGGCAGCCAAAACTTCGGTGACCGACGCCATGACGCTGAGAGCCGCTTTCAAAACCTCCTGAGGGCATCCTGGCTTTACAATGGTTCGAACCTGAAATTATAAGGACAAATACCATCAGAATGAGAAATTAGTGCATGCACTACGGTGTAAAGAATTTCTACAGTGGATGCTAACTTAGTAATCAAGAACTAGGTCCTAATTTTATCATGGCAAAAAAAGGTAGCAATGATAAAAAGGATCTGTTAAACTGGGTTAGCAGTCATAGGATTTGAGGTCTGCACAATTTGAGTTTTCAACTAACTATTTAATATGAAATTTTTGTGTTAAACACTAGTTCTGTTAAAATGAAAGAGTGAATCAATTGGCAAGACCTGTTCAAGGTACTCCTGAAGTTTCTTAATGCGGCCCATGTAGTCCTGGTCTTCAACAGAAAGAGTTATGACCTTGGCATCAGCACCAGGACCATCAAACTGAAGTGGACCCGGATTTCTGTAAATATCATCCATGAGAAAGCTTGTTGCATTTTGTCTCAACAGCCTGCAACAAATAAGTATCATGCATCAGAGAAATGCCCTTAATAGACTCACTGACCAAGAAATCAGATCGAGTAAGCTGCGGTGAAAAAAAACAAGTGTTCCTATTACCAAATAATCCACCTAACGGGTGGAGATAACTGTCAAATCATCTACATAACTTCACTGACCAAATACAGGTATATGCACAAGAAATCTTACTCATAAGCTTTGCCTCTCAAGTCCACTGTAGCTGGATGAATAGCAGGTTTTCCAATTGATGTGGCTCCTGGATTTGGAGACCAGCGCTTCACAGTCATCATAGCCTAAAAGGTTCACCAGAGGCATAATAGATGAGTCTCTACCATGAAAAGCATTTGCTATCATAAATAACCATATAAAGTAGGTAATACAAGAAAAATAATGGTAAGAACGACATACTGCAATTGGAGCAGCCCCGCATCGCCACTTGTTTACAGGATTCTTCAGGTTAGTTACAGTTGCCATGTATCCGTTTAGACCAGCGGCCAGTATATGGTAGCAGATGTGTCCAAGGACCTGCAATAATATCAAAGGTTATTAACAAAAGGGGGAAACACTTACAAATGATATTGATTAGAAGAGCTAAGAAACAAAGGGAGATTCCTAAATCAACATACATATGCGTAATCACAGTCAAATTTTGATGGTAGAGATCCACGAGCTTGATAACCAAAAAAATGGCAAATGGCACTGAACTTCTTTCCCTTGTATGTGCCTTCTTTCTGTCAAAAGGAACGGGAAAATATTTTAAACGTCAAGGCACCAGTGGATAATTTACCTTCAAGCCAATAAAAGCAATTAAAGCCAGCTCCAAAACGCTTTACAAACATCAACAAAATGAAATTATTCAGGATAGTAATTATATAAAGTATGGCTCAAGATTATATCATTCATAACTGACACACAGCTGACCCTTCGTGATGATTTCCAAACAAATTAATATATTGCAAAAATGTCGCACCATTTGATGTAACAAAAAATGTTCTTATTTCATAAATCGCAATGAATAGGAAAAGAATAAAAAAGAGATCCATGATAACTTGTGATGGAGCACATGAACAACAAAATGGGTTGCAGAGATCACAAACACATAAACTAATAATAATCATTAGAAGTGCAAAGATGTTGGAGAGTCCATACCAAACGCTTGTTTATCCCTGCTTCCACAAGATATGCTAGTAATTTCTCTGTTTCAATCTGCAAATCATTACAAAGAAGGAAGAACAGAGACATGAATGAAGGAATCTGAAATTCTCTATCAATCCACATAAAGAGCAAATTATCTTCTTGTGATTATTACCTGTGATAACTGTGCTGAGTCATCAGATTCAGGGTAAAGGAGCAACTGCAGCATTACAGATCATAGTCAGATTTTGTTTCATACTCTTTAGAACTAAATTTGACGCAAGGCCAGCCAGTGTCAGCATGATAAATGAGTTTACCTGTCTCCTAATAAAGGGTGGCAAAAATTCAAATAGAGCAGATGCCCATGGTGAAAGTTGAGAAGATATCTTGTCAACAGCAACACCTAGTCTGAGTAAGCTATGAATTTCCTGAGGTACAAAAAGGTATTGGAAGGAACAGATTATATTAAGGTTAATCTCTATCATAGGAGAGAAAATTTGTAATACTAATATAAAACAGCAATGACAAAAACTGTCATTTTCTGATGCTTCAACAGTCTAAAATGTATACTTGATTGATAAATATCAGTATACTTTGTGCTCAGGTGGAGCTTGGCTTTTGAGAAAGGGGTGTTTGTACCTTCAAGAGTGCATAAACTTCAGGAATGCTCTCTATCAGCCCTTCTGGAAGGAGGATTACTCCATGGTATTTGTCTGAGAAGAACAGAGGAATGTGACATTAGATCTCAATACACATACTCATGTAAAGAGGCAATTCAGATTGTTCAAACCTTGCTCTGCCCTAGCCTGAACTGCATCAGTAATCTGTTTTGTTATTTCAAAAAGGGTCAGCTTTGATGCAGCAACCTCCTCACCAAGAATTACCTGCATAAAGGGTATAAAAGATGATTGTCAACATGGAACTATAACACATTAAGCACAAATGATGTGAGACAATAATACGCACCATGTTTGGATGGGACTGGAGGGTGCATTCCAAAGCAACATGTGATGCCTTGCGCCCCATAAGACGAATGAAATAATAATACTGGAAAAGAAAACTTATTCAGAGAGGTACTTGAAAAGAAATTAAAGAAAATAAAAATTTATAAATTTATACACACAATGTTATCAAAGCAAGATAGACAAGACTCGTTACCTTCTCTGCAGAGAGAGCATCAGTGCAGACATTACTGATGAGCTGAGAATTCACCTGAATAAACAGAAAGCAAAGTTTTATAGGTACTTCAATTTCTCATTATTTCATAGCATAGGCAATCATTTTATCAAACAAAACGCCACAAAGAGAAGGGAAACTCCTAACACACACTGCCCTGTCATGATGAAAATAAATAGGCCATTATGACTTTATATAATAGGTGATACACTGTCAAATTACCAGTTACATAAAATAATGTTTTCTATCATCTATATAAAGTATTTAGATGAGCAAATAGACTGTGCTTCATATGTTAATGCAAAAATAATATTTATTTTATAAATAAATGTCTTAATCACGAGACAAATACCTTACAAATTGTATCAAAACCAACATTAGTTTCCACAAACTGGTTTTTAAGATCTCCATTCAGAGTCACAGGTACACCAACCACCTGTAGAATCCAACTGCCATAATCAATAAATTGGAAACTGATACGAAATTAAATGATATAAAGAACAGTCAATTTCAAATATATTAATTATTATGAATAAAAAGAAGCAATCTCAAATATAAAACTTTAGTAAAGACCACTCTTTTGAACCCACGTGGATTAAGACAAGATGAACAAAATCCAAACTAACTATTAAAAATACCTTTGTGGGGCAGTTGGCTACAGCAAAAGTTTCAGCGAGTTGTGCAGCATCCGTGTTTGATGTCACCCCTGAAAGATAATGCATCCCAGCATATCAAAACCTCTTCTGAGGATGTAAAAATAATTAATGATACATTAATGTCCAAGATGCTTAAGCATACCTCCAATGATGACAAGGCCGTTGAGTTTCAAATTGTTGCATGCAGCAAGTGCAGCATTGACCTGCTCTGTGGTCCTAATTTGATCTTTTGTCCTGCCAAGTAAATCATAACCACCTACGAAACAACAACCATAGTATGACGATAAGGAGTTAATAACAAAATTTACTAACTAAAGGCTATTACCAACAACTTCACAAGCCATAATTGACTAACTATCACAATTGACCAATAAGGAGTTAATAATACAACTGACTAACTAATGACTATTATCAACAAAGTCACTTGCCACAACCAACCTTGGTTTTTGTATGTGGAAAGAACACTGTCGGTTATCTCCAGAGTTTTCTGGGCAAACAGCCCTTCTGAACCACCTGCAGATAGAAATAAGGAAATGCAGACCCAGTTATTCATTTATGTATTTCAAGGTTAATGTAAAAGCTTGTGTTGTGCGTAATACGTAGCATGAGATATAGGTATATTCAAAGTAATCTAACCATAGTTAAGACACCCAATTACAATTTATATATATATATAAAGCTCGAGATCCATCAAGCAAATTAAATTCAAATACCAAGAAATCCAAGCAAAACACTGTTGGGATTGTGAATTTTGAGAGCATTGTGAAGACCCCAGATAACATTGTGTCCTCCTGGAGATTGTCTCCCACAAAAGACAACTCCCACCCTACAACAACAATATTAGTACGATGAGATTCTTAACAAACAGAGCCTCAACAATGCCTAGGAACACAAACATGATAAGCAGACACAGACCTAATAGGAGGGAACTCAGTTATGATCTGAGCATCAGGTACTTTGGCAGTGGCCCTGAGAAAGTGAGCCAAAGGGTGTCCATAGGTGTTAGGAAAAGCCCTGCTGATGGTTGGGGCATCAGTTGGGTCAGCAGTGGTGGTAGCATCACCAAATTCAACCCTCACAGTGGTTCCCTGCACCAATAAGCCAAAAGGGTCATCACCCAAATGCAAAAGGAAAAAAAAAATCAAAACTTGGCAACCCCTACTGCTCCCACAACCACTGCAACCCACAAGATCTGAAACCAGTAAGCACCTGGAGGCAAGGGGGAAGCTCCGGCTGGTACAAAGACCGAATCTTTTGAAGATCTGAAAGCTCCCTGGGAATACCATAATCAGAATCCATGGATTCAACCTCTGTGATGCCTCAACAGAATTAACAAAAAAAAATAAATAAACACTAAGAAACAAACAGACTACAACGTTGTTAGCTACTACTGTGGGAGTGTAACTATTGTTGTTTGGTGTAGTTGTTGAAAGGTGAATGTTGGGTGCTGGATGGGTAGGGTACCCTTTTAAGTTCCTACCCTTTTAAGTTACACCTACCAAACTCGTTTTTTTTTTCTTCGTTTCTTCAAAAACAAATGACTCATCTATTCTACAGTAACTGACCTACCAAGCCCACCGGATTAGGGTCTTTTTACCATATTGTTATTCGAATATTCTCCATATGCTTATCTTTTTTCTTCTTTTTAATAAATTACATTAATCAATTCACATAACTTCTTTCTGTTATGTTTTTCTTTACCCTAAATTTTTTTAATGGTTTAAAAAACATTACTTTTTGCATATATTTAAGAAAATTACATAATGTTACATTTTATATATATATATATATATATATATATATATATATATATATATATATATAAAGAAAGTTTGTATAGTTCTATAAAACTTCAAAATAATTAGGTAACTTCCTTTTATTAGAGTAATAAATTGCATTGTCACCTGGTGACACATTTTTTAATTATAAATATATATTTTTTTAATGCTTACAACAATTTCTCTTAATAGAAATAACTAAAATAATGTTTTTTTAGTAAATGTTTAATACAGAAGAAAAAATTATATATAAATTCCTGAAAATGAATCTTCAAAATTGTAAAATGTAGGAACGAATTAAAATATACCCAATTGATTAAAATATTCTTAATAATGTTTATGTTTATATACAAGCATTTATACAATAAAAAAATTTGAAAATTTCACATTAAATGATTTGATAAATTTGTGAAATAAAAAAATTATCTTAACCCGAAGAAGTTAAATTCTGATATCTCTTCGTATGAATAATTTTTGTAATAAAATTGATCAAAATCATTCAAGTAAATATCTTTTTTTTTCAATTTAAAATTTACAGAAAATAAAATAAAATCTTGCAATAATAAAAGTTAGTATAACAAATAGAAAATATCAATAAATATTTAAAAACTAACGTGATTAATGTAAAAGAAAACAAAAAAAGTATAACTGATTTATTTATTTTTCACAGGGAATTGCCATGCTTCACGCCACTCTTTAATTTTGACGTTTTTTATTCTCAACTTTATTTGGGTGTGGGTTGTGGTTTTGCCATTTTCAGAGGTGGAAGAAAAAAGTAGGAAGAGAAACCAATTTTACTTTCGTAGGTTTGAAAAGTGGGAAAGTACGATGGATTTTCAACGGTTTAGATCTGAAAAGGTTATTATCATATTTATGCTTCTATTCAGATTCCTATTTGTTGTGTTAGGTGTCAAATTCCACACCCTTGAATTTTAATGTTTCATAAATTGTATTTTCTTTTTCAAATTGAAATTATAGATAAGATTAATGTTAAATTTTTTTTATTGTGTATATTTACAGTTGATTTATTATTATTTTGTAAACTTTATCATTATATTATTTTCACACATTTTATTATATATATTTTTTTCATATAAACATTAACAGTCATTATATTTAAAAAATGAAAATTGGAAAACTATAATTTATTTGATTCCAACTGAATCAAACAAAATTAAAAGCCACCATGTTATTTAATTATTAAAAACATTTAACTTTAAACAGTTTACGAATGAACGCACCGAAAAAGTGGATAATATATTAAGAACATCAAATTGTACTTTAACAACTTGAGATTATTATTCGGATAAAAAACAACAACTTGAAATTATTTTGAATGGTTTATAATTAAGATTAAGTTATGATTTATGATGGGATTTAATTGTTTGTATATATTTTATTTTATATTTATCATGTATTTACTTTTCTACGTATGTAATGTTGAATTGCTGAAAAGTAATTGTTGTTGACTTTTGAAATAACTTTAAAAGAAGTAATACTTTAATTTCTATATTTTATGTGATAAATGTTTCTTTTTATATAATTAAAAGTTATCATAAATGAAAGAAAAAGTTAAATATTGTTAACATAAACCATAATTTCATATTTCTAGTTAAGGTTAAGGATTCAAAATTAATTATAGTATAATTTTATAATTGAATAAATGTTTATTTTTAGTTTATTATTTATTATTCCTTGAATAAATATTTGTTATTTTTTTCAAATGAATAATTATATTTTTTAACTTTTTAACTAAATTTGAATATCGACTTGATCTTAATATATTACGTTCAAATGACAATCGGGAAGATACGAAATTATAAATCAAGACAATTACTTTTTTATTAATTATTTCAAAATTGATTTGATTAATTTAAAGAATTATAATATTTTTCCTAATTTAAAAAGATTTCGTATTAAATAAGGGTATTAACTTCCTTTATTATCGCGATATAATTAATCTTGTTAATTTAGATGATATATGAAATTACGGTTTTGTACCATCTAATTATTTCTCACTCCGTAAATGTACCATAAAGGAAAATCATAAAAAACCCTATTTTAGTACTAAAAAAAATTACCATAAAAAACCTATTTTACTACTTAAAAATAAAACTAATCTTCTGATTGCTTATACACCTCTACAAGAAGAAGTGAGAGGATAAATATGAGTTAATGCATTTTTGTTTACATTTATTGATTTGCAGGGATTTTTGGTGATGGGAAGGTAAGATCCATCCACCTATAATCTCTCAAAAAATGGTGAGAAAGTTGGGAATTAAAAGATAAAATATCTCATTTAACCACTAAATTGCATGATATGAGTTATACTAATATTTGTAATTTTTTTCACGTGTAGCATTGTTTTAATATAAAATTTCATATATACACAATTTTTCAAAATGTCAAATATTTCAAATAAAAAATAGTAATTATTAGAAATTTTATATTTTAAATCCATTAAAAAAATATATATGAAAATTTTTATTTACATAATTATATTATTAATATATTTTTATAAATATAATAAATACAAATATTTTTAATATATATATATAATATTTAAATATTTATTTATATAATTATATCAAATTAATATAAATATTCTTTTTACCTATCATAAAAATATATTTATATAATTATATGTTTAATATACTTTTATAAATATAGTAAATATAAATATATTTAATATATATATATATAATATTTAAATTTTATTTAATATAAATTAGTTGAAGAAAAAAATTGATAAAAATAATAATTTATAGGAATAATAAATCAAAAATAAATTTATATAAGATATTGTATGAATAAAATTTATTTAATAATAATTTTGATGTAAAAAATTAGAAATACAAAATAAATTACAATATTATAGATTTAATATTTAATAAATATGGATTTATATAATATATATATTTGTATATCTAAATTTACTTACCATTCACATCACCACCTAACTCTTTTGTCACTCACATGTTTACCTAAACTCTCCTACCACTCACATGACTATCTAACTTTCATGTCACTCACATGACTATCTAACTCTCATGTCACTCACATGCATATCTAAACTTACTTATCGAAAATTTACAGTTCTCTTAACTGCTTCTGATAGCTCCGAGGACCAAGCCCCCTCTCCGCTTATCAAACTCGAAAAGCCACCTCTTTTCGATGGGCATGTGAGTTAGATAGTCATGTGACAAGTTGTATTTTGCACAACTTTTTACGTAGAGTAGATAACGAGGAATCTTTTCTACATGAAGTAGACTGAGAATTAGAGGAACGTGCCGATGATAGGTCTACAATATAAATCCAAGAGGATCATTATAGGAAAGGGGCAAACTTAAGGGACTTAATAACAACAAAAATGTGGCATGATTATGAACATTAAATTATCTTTTTTAATTATGTTTTTTTGTAATTTTGTTATTGCTCATGTGTAATTGACAATTTATAAGTTAATATCATCATTAGTTGTATAATGTAGATATTGTAACTTACGTAACAATGAGATAAAGTAACATAACTTACCTGTTTCCAGGCTAACAATGAGTAGAGGAAAAGGATAGATTGATGCAAGTCATAACATATGAGAGTTTACAAAATGGACTGAAGCTATGGATTTACAATTGCTAATCGTCATGATTGATGAAGTTTAGGTTGGGAATATGATAGTTGGCAATTGGACCAGTCAGGCCTATACAAATATTGTAGAGGCATTAAGACAAGTAGGTTATTCTTCTATCAACAAGAATAATGTAAAGAATAAACAAAAATGTTTGAAAGATAGATGGCGTGAAATGCACGATCTTTTTAGTAGCCTAAGCGGTTTTGCATGGAATGAGGTCACAAGGGTGTTTGAAGCTGATCCTGAAGTCTGGCAAGACTTGATTTAGGTATTAATATTGAAATAAGTATTTTACTTCATAATTATAATAGTTAATGATGTTTGAACGTGTTTGCACCTTGTTTTATCTCAGGCAAAACCATTTGCTGTCAAATGGCAAGTCACCTCCATTAAGTTCTATGACTTATTGGAAGAGCTACGGGGATCTGATCTTACCACGGGGCACATGACCAGAACCGCACGACAGGTTCGAGGCAGTTTCACAGTGGATTTGGGCATTGACCTAAATGAAGATGCAACAAATCTCTTTCTCCATCAAGACTACACTCCATCATTTACTGAGATGTAGCCCAGTCCTCCGTGAGTTGATTTGTACAATGCCAACATCTTTCCATCTGTCTCATCTGCCCCCTTCCGGTGGTACCTCTTCATCTAGAGGCTCGAAAAGGAAAACCCACATGGTTGATGTTGATCTTAATTCTCAATTTGAATTCATGAACACAGGGATCCATCATATGGTCGATAGGATGAGAGAGAGCAACAAATATTCGATCAGGCTAACAGACATTGGTGGAGTGACAAGTTATTGTTGTGGAAGCTCATGTCGCTGACTAGCACCGGCGAACAGGCTTATATAGTGAACAAATCATGATCCAGAGTAGCTCTATTACTCTACATTATTCTGCATAAGATATATGACAAATGTTATGTGAGCTTAACCTGTTGGACGGTCAACTTCAACTGCAGTGTTATGAGTTCATCTGTAGAAATCCAATCCACAAGAAGATGATTTTTGATCTCCCACTGCACTTACAACTGAATTACTTGTTGAAACACATAAGCGGTGGTGGTTCGTCTTAGTTATAATAAAATATGGAAGACACATATATCATATTGGATTATTGTAATGTATTTTCCTTTACTAATTGGATGACCGTAGTATAATTGCTTTTACTTTTTTTTTTTTTTTTATAAATGTAATAAGATATATGTAGTTTCTTTATTTAGATAGCTAAAATTAATGTTTAATTAAAATATTATTTAATTTAATATTATTACACATTAAATGATAATTTTGTATTTTATTTGAATGTTATTTAATTATTATATTTAATGTGAAATCAACCATTAGAAAAATGTATAACAATTTATAAATTATTAGTATGGTAATATAATTTTACTTTGTTAAATATTCATTCAAAATACCAACAATTTTAAATATATAATTTAAACTACAATAAAAAATATTTTATAATTAATATATAAAATTATTTTAATTATTCTCAAGATATAAAATAATATTAATATATTTAATATTATATATAATATAAATCTTAACATTATTATATTTAATTATATTATAATAAGTATTTCTTCTTAATTTATTTAATATATAACTATAAAGATATTTTGGTTATTATATTAAAAAATTATTATTCAATTTTTTATATTTATTTATATCAATTATAATAAATAATAAATTCACCCACGCATCTTTAAATCTATTATTTTTTCTTTAATCCAAAGAATCATACAACTCACTCTAAATCACCTTACCTTACATATATTCCGTCAAATGCTCAATGCAAAGATAAGGTTATGCCTTCAGAATTGTAGCAATGAAAATAAGCTTAAGCCTCTAGAGTTGTGGCAATGAATTCTAGAAAGTGGAGAACTAAATTAATTTTGACGTTATTGCAAAATGTTGACTTAACGATGGATTAGGTGCATTCCTTATTGAACAATTTCGCATTGGACACCAACATTAAATATTTCTACTTTTATATTTTTTATAATATCTACTTATTCGAATAAAATTATCTTTTATAATCTATTTTGTTTTTTGACTAAAATAATTCATAAAAATAATCTATTTTTTCACCCCTGAAAGAGAACAACAAATTTACCTTTTCCTTTCTCAAACCAGAGAATGGAGAATTTCTGTGTCTGACAGCAAAATGTTTTCAATCTGTCATTCTCCAATGCTTTCAAGGGTCAAATCATCTAGAACTTTCTACAAACTTTATTTTATTTATATTTCCAATGTTTTCACTTTGTCAAACTCCAATTTATTTTATTTTATTTTAATATAATAATAAAAATATAATAGTGTAATTAGAATTTTCGCAACCCTAGGCAAATAAATTGGAAAAAAATTTCTATGGGAGGAAAAATAGCATAAAGATTTGTATAAGACATTTTAATTAAAGAAAAGAGATGATTATAATAGATGAAAAATAAAAAATAATCCACCACTTTTTATTTATTCAATCTTTTGCATTTATTTATTATTAATCATATAAAATTAAATTCATCCTCTTCTTTCTCCCACAAATCTTATGCAATGCCCCCAGGAATACAATAAAATTTGTGCTGCATTCACAATATATAATACTAACATAAGAAATGACGTAGGATAACATTAATTATATTAATTTATTACTGACACTGACATGTTCATGGAAAATATATATTATTTTATCACTTCATTCATAGTTGACAAACAATATATAATACAAATCTAACCAATTGTTAGGAATGTGGAACTGGACTTGCCCCAAATGGGCTATTAAGTTTATGGACTTTTTCTGTATGCACCGCATATATGTTTTTTTTTTTTTTTCTGTATTTCATATTTATTTAAAACGATAATATTGTTTTTAAAATAAATAGTTATGGATTATTTTTTGGAATTTTTTTAGAATAAATTTTTATAAATATTTTGGATTAATCTTTCTAAAAGCTTTTATAAAAATCAATTCCAAAAAAATTCGTTCTGGAAAACTTCTAAAAGAGTGAATCTGAATTTAATTAAATTCATGTGAAAAATCATTTCCAAATTTAATTTTCAGAGAATTTTGGATTAATCTTTTCAGAATGATAAAATTATATTGCTGATTTCATAATTCAGAACTTTAAAAAATTATATATTTCTGAATCCGTTCGTAATTTTTTTTTTCAAGATTTTTAATTCGAAATAACTCCATAATATGTTTCGGATCACTCGTTTATAAAAACTAAAGGTGGTATCGTCTTTCGCCTAAAGATGGAAGTACGAGAAGCATGTATCAAGTTTATGAACTGACCAAGCCCATGAATTTTTGCTTTGATATTTCTCTAAGATAAACTTGTTTCTCTTACAACTAACATAAGCTATGACATAAGATAGGATAACAACACATAATACACAATAAATAAACACAATGTAAATTCAGATTAAGTGGATAATTATAATCATAATTTTATTTTATGTATTTTAATTTTATCATATGGATGTCAACTTCATGATCATAACTCATTCATTATTATTTGGTGAAAAGGCTATATAATTATGACGATGGTTAAAAATATATCTTTTTATATTTTTTTTGGTATCAAAATTGTTATACTTAATTTCACATAATATGAAATAACATAATTGAAGTGTCCATGCACCATGTTAAACATGCGTGGTCAACTTGAGGGGCTGCAATAGCAGCAATATAAGAAAATTAGAGAAACACAAGTAGGAACCAGGGAGTGGTGGTGGTTCTTTTTATTTTCTAATATCACGTACAAAAATCCACAAACTAGCCATCACCATAGAGGCAATGAGGAAAAAGAAGAACCATTCAAGCCAACACAAATTTAAATCAGCCCTCGCTATTAATTCATTTCCTTCTGCTGTGGGCATTCATGGCAATTTGTTGCACTAAATTTCCATAGCTATAATGGAGGTTCATATACCATAATTGTCACTGACTTTGTTTGCACCAAATAATCTTCAGCTCTACAAAAACCACCAAAGAAACAAAGTCTTTCAGTAGGTAATGAGTATTGGGTAATAAAAGATTCAAAGGTTATAGTTATTTCTTGTATTTTTTATCTTACCAGAAAAGGTGGAGAAGTGACAGGTATCAAGTATAGGTCATCTTTTCTTCCAACAGTCACTCCAAATTGCTCAGTCATGTCCAAATCCTCATTTTTCATTCCATTGGGAAGCTTCCAATCAAAGTGATACAACAAAAATGCAAGTGCCAGCTCAACATTCATCAAACCAAGTGTCATGCCTGGGCATATTCTTCTTCCAGCACCAAATGGAATGTACTCAAAATTATTCTTTTTGTAGTCAATAGAGCTATCAATGAATCTCTCTGGATAAAACCTTTCTGCTTCAGTCCAATAGTTTGGATCTCTTCCTATTGTACAAGCATTCACAATTACCTTACTTTTGACTGGAATATGATACCCATTAATCTCACATGCTTCTGCACTTTCTCTTGGAATTAAAAGAGGAGCTGGTGGGTGTAACCTTAGGGTCTCTTTCACAACTAATTTCAAATATTTGAGTTCATCCATGCAAGTTTCATCAACCCTTCCTTTCATATTGAATACCTCTCTCACCTCATCTTGTGCTTTCTTCATTACTCTAGGATCCCTTATCATCTCGGCCATTGCCCAATTAATGGTAGTTGTAGATGTCTCTCCTCCAGCACCAAAGATGTCCTGTTAAGCATAACTGTCATGGATTTGACTTATGATGTAATGTGAAAAGTGTACTTTAAGTATAAAGTAAACAGTTAGATTGGACGATAAACAGTTTAGATTTATCCTCACCAGGATTATAGCCTTGATATTGTCAATAGTTAAGCAAATATCCTGCTTACTATCATTACCATCCTGGAATTTTAGAAGAACATCTACCAAATCTTCCTCTGCTTCACCTTGGCCTCCTCTGCCTTTTGACTTTGCCTCTTTGTGTTCAGTGATGATGTCTTCTAATATGCGATCACTTTGTCGACGCAGTCTCTCAAGCTTAGGCCTCAAACCAGTAGCAAGTTGAAGCCATTTAGCAGAAGGAAAAAGATCTCCTACGTTAAGACCTGATCCAATTTTCACGGCTTCTTTTACCATCAATATGAATTCTTCTCGGTCTTTGCATTTCATGCCAAACGCAGATCTTGAAATGATGTTATACACTGATGAAAGTAGCGCTTCAGTGAGGTTGAAGGGCGACCCTTTATGTGAATCAATCATTTTGACAAGATTGGTGAGTTCTTCTTCTCTTATTGGTTGGAATGAGCTGACACGTTTTTGTGTGAAAAGCTCGACGGTGCATATTTTTCGTAGCTGTCTCCAATAGTTTCCATAGGATGCAAAAACTATATTTGTGGATTCATAAGCTAATATATCTGAAGCCATAATTTTAGGCCTTGATGCAAAGATGACATCATGGGTTTTCATGATCTCCATAGCATACTCTGGTGAGGAAACAATGATTGCGAAGACCTCCCCAAGTTGGAGATGCATCAAGGGGCCATATATTGTGGCCAAGTCTCTGAGTTTTCGGTGTGGTGTTGATGTAACAAGATTGTGTATGTTTCCTACGATAGGTAGCTTCCATGGTGCAGGGGGCATGTTTGGAGATGAGTCAGTTTTATTGAGATTGGTCCTTATTTTGAGTGCCAAAATCATGAAGAGGAAAAAGGAGATGATCAGGGCTAATATGTTTAGTATTTGACAATCCATGGTAACAGAAGAGAGTAACATGGGGAACTAGAAGTCCTGATAAAGATGAGGATTTGGTTGTCTTTGTTAATGTTGTCTATGTTTTGTAGTAGTTGCCACTGCTGCAAACTTCTTTGTAACAAACCTTTCAGTTTATTTCATTTTCACTAGCAACATTTCTTTGCTGGCAATTATAATATGGCCATTGCCGGCCGATATAATATCCGCGAACAAAAAGTCGGCAACTTTATACAAATCAATAAAGACAACAACTTTTGAAAATTTTCTTCATACGTTGATTATAATTTTGGTTATTTACGTAGATATTGATGATGGAAAGGATTGAGAATATATTATTATGGCGAATACTTGACAAATACTGTCCTCGTTTGAATTATAGATTGGGTGCAACGTCCAAATGCTTTTGTCCTTTTCTTCTGAGTGCCTATGTTCTGTTAGTCTTAAATCACACGGTGACCTCATCTAAAACATCCATGTGGAAAACGTTAGTTTATATTATATTACATAAAAATAAAAATTAAATAATATCAAAATTAGAAAAACCTATAAATTTATAGTCTTGAAATTTTAGAATGAATATACTATTATATTTTCTTCTCTTCGTGACTTTTTTAATAAGAATTTTAGATAAATATGTTTGAAAATATTTTTTTATAATACTTTGTAGTAGTGTAAGATTGAAGATGATGTCACACAGTTTTTAGTGATTAAGTGATAATTTATTAGGAAACCTCTTCATGATTTTTTGTCATCAAATTTTTACTTTTATTTTATTTCAAGTTTAGATTTTTGCTTTACTTTCATTTGATCTAGATTTGTGGTTTGGGTTGATTTTAGCTGAACTTATTGTTTGGATAACGAAGAAAACTTTCAAATGTTTTTGCTGACTTGGACTCTTTTTTTTTTCTGTAATATATATAATGATAGAACTACCATCAATGTAGAATCTAACAAACAATTAATATGTAACGACTTAGGAAAATGATATTTTAACAACTTTCCTTAGATAAATATTAAAAAAGAAAACAAAAGAGAAAAAATTAATAATATAAATATTATTATTATTATATTTATATAAAAAATTGTTAAATGGTTTTTATTTTTTTTACTTTTTGATTATTTATATATCATTTCTCAAAAACTTATATGCCTTAGTGGACGTTTAAGTTAAGAAACTAAACTAAAAATTTTCAAATTACAAGAATTTAAATGAGAGTTAATTTTTATTTATACTATAATTAAGTCAAAAATTAAAAAAAATATATAAAAGTGTAGATTTCTTGAAATTTTCTATTATTAAAAAAATATATTAAGAATTACATTAAACTATATATTACACTAAATGTAACTTTTAATGCATAAAGAAATTCAATAGAATTTCTATCAATTAAGATGTTTTGGGGGGATGCTTCTTGAGAAGGTGACACAAGATGTACAAGAACTATGGCAGAAAAATGGGATAAAGAAGAAGGGAAAATAAAATACGTCAGAATATCTTAAGTTAAAAACAAAAAATCTAATATTTTATTAATCAGAGGTAACAAACTAAAAATATCATGTTACATAGGTATTGTATTTTACCACTCTTTTCATACCTTGTGGATGGCATGAATTTTCGTGGACAGATTCAAACATAATTTACAGAATTACATGATTGCTAATTCAAACTAACAATATTATTTTTGTATATTGATTCTACTACTTTGTGCAACAATACTATAATCTAATGTTTATTAAACTGTGTTGATTATAGTACTTAAAGAACATTAATCACAATTTAGCATATACTTAGGTACTTCCACTATTTATGTTTCATTTCTAGGTCCGTGGCATATTTCAGCCATGAAGGTTACAATAATGGAATATCTGAGTATTTGAAATAAAATTTTCAAACTTGCAGTGGGATAGTTCAATTGAGGCATCTGGTGATGAAAGCTAAGATCTATTTCACATGATAACTTTATTACAGAATATAAACTGTTTCTGTATCAGATTAAATATGTGCTATGTTATCAACTTTATGGAATTCTTGATCCTGGGATTGATTATCCTTACTCTCTGCAGTCTGCACCATGTCCCTGCATTTGCAACTGTTCTGTTAATCTCCTATTCTGATTTTTTTATAAGATAATGGTAACTGTCAATTTGTTGTTTACACATTTCTCCTTGTATACTTGTACTACTGGTAAGACATTTGTGATGTGCTAGTCTGCTAAATTAATGTTATGAATGGTGTACTTAGGTAGACAACTAAGATATGATGATAACCACGATGAAAACATCATAAGGATGCAATATAGAATGTTCAGTTAAACTAAAATCAACGAAAAGACAAAGATCCTTTCAATAGTAAAGGGGTAATATGTGGTTTTTCTCACCAGTAAAGGATGAGAAGTGAGTGGTATCAAGTATAGGTCTTCCTTTCTTCTAACAGTCGCTCCAAACTGTTCAGTCAGGTCCAAGTCCTCATTTTTCATTCCGTTTGGAAGCTTCCAATCAAAGTGAAACAACAAAGATGCAAGGGTCAGCTCAACACTGGCTAAACCAAAGGTGATGCCTGGGCATATTCTTCTTCCAGCACCAAATGGTGTTAGGTAAACATTAAATGCATGTAGTTGAGAGGTAATGGTTATAGAGGTAGTAGTTGAGAGGTAGTTGTTGTATTGAATGTATGTAGTTGAAAGGTAGTAGTTGTATTAAATGCATGTAGTTGAGAGGCCATATCCAAAGGACCTATAAATTGACCATGCATCACTTATTGCAAACATATCAAGTGATAATATACTGAGTGTTTTATTTAGATACTTGTTTGTCAACAAATTGGCATCAGAGCTTGAGAGGCTGAGTGTCTGAGTGCGTTAGAGAGAGTGTTTGAGAGTTAGAGAGTTTGTTCGAGATGGCCAACTTAGCTAACAGCATGCCCCTGCCGAAGTTATCGAAAGGTGTAAGCTATGATAACTGGAGTCTGTAAATGAAGGCTCTCCTTGGTTCCCAAGAAGTATGGGACGTGGTCGAAAATGGGCACCAAGAACCAGAGAATATTGAAGAGCAGACGATTGCTCAGCTTGCTGCATTGAGAGCAACACGAGTAAAGGACAAAACGACTTTGTACGTACTGTACCGAGCTGTTGATGAGTCCGGCTTTGAGAAGATAGCAAATGCTAAATCTTCAAAAGAAGCGTGGGATATTCTGGAGAAGGCATATAAAGAGGATAATCGCGTGAAGCAAGTCAGACTTCAAACTCTTAGAGGCGAGCTTGAAAGCATGAGGATGAAAGAGGTCGAAGGGGTTGCCGAGTACATCTCCCATGTTGAGACTGTGGTGAATCAACTCGGAAGAAATGGAGAGACGCTGCCCACTTGCCGAGTGGTGTAGAAAATCTTAAGGTCGTTAACTGACGACTTTGAGAATATCGTTTGTGCAATAGAAGAGTTCAAAGACTTGTCGGTACTCTCGGTGGAAGAGCTTGCCGGGTCGCTTGAAGCGCATGAGCAGCGGAGAAGGAAGAAGAAAGAGGAGTCCCTTGATCAAGCACTCCAAGCAAAGACAACCTTAAAGGAGAAGAAGGTTCCTTATGCTCAGAACACTCAAGGCCGAGGTGGTAGAGGCAAAGGAGAATATGAAAGAGGCAAGGAGCAAGTCAGTCAACAAAACTGGCGTGGCCGAAGACAAGGTAGAGGTCGTGACGGTAGAGGCCGAGGTGGTCAGTCAAGCAATTCCGGAGTTGAGTGCTTCAAATGTGGAAAGTACGGTCATTTTGCTAAGGACTGCTATTCAGGTATCAAATGTTATAATTGTGGGAAGGTTGGGCATTTCGCGAAAGACTGCCGATCTGAGAGGAAGAAGGAGACAAACCTCCTCTCTGAGGACACTGAGGAAGAATGAGTATTGATGATGTCGAGAAGTTCGGATGTCGAGCTAAGTCCGAGCTGTTCTGACAACTCGGTTTGGTATCTTGATACAGGAGCAAGTAACCACATGTGCGGGGACGAGAACCTTTTTAAGGAGCTCACTAAAGTTGAGGCCGGACACGTGTCATTTGGAGATGCATCAAAGGTGGTAGTAAAAGGCAGAGGTACAATCTGGTACCTGCAGAAGAATAGCCGAGTTGGAGAAATCAGAGACGTGTACTATGTACCGGATCTCAAAAGCAACATATTGAGTATGGGTCAGCTGATGGAGAAAGGCTACTCGGTTCTGATGAAAGACCAAGTACTATACCTGAAGGACAAGTCGGATCGTTTGATTGCCCGAGTAGAAATGAAGAAGAACAGAATGTACAAGTTGGACTTGAAGATAGTCCAAGAGAGGTGCTTGAAACTTGACGTGAAGGATGAAGCAATGATGTGGCACTTTCGATTTGGCCACTTGCATTTTGGCGGATTGACCGAGTTGGTAAAGAAAGAGATGGTGCGAGGACTCCCGTCTATGAAATTTGAAAAGAAATTATGTGAAGAGTGTGTGCTCGGGAAGCATCCGAGGACCTCATTTCCGAGGACGGCCGAGTACCGTGCAAAGGAACAACTCGAATTGATTCACACAGATATTTGTGGACCGATTACCCCTGAGTCCTTCAGTGGGAAAAGGTATTTCATTTCTTTTATAGATGATTTTTCAAGAAAAACCTGGGTATATTTTTTGAAGGAGAAATCCGAGGTGTTTGAGGTGTTCAAGAGATTTAAAGCAATGGTTGAGAAAGAGACTGACATGCCTATCAAATCTGTTAGGTCTGATCGAGGAGACGAGTTCATTTCATCCGAACTCATGAAGTATTGCGAGGAGCAAGGGATAAGGAGATTTCTGACAGCACCATACTCACCCTAACAAAACGGAGTTGCCGAGAGGAAGAATCGAACCATTCTTGACATGGTTCGAACAATATTGAGAAGCAAAAATGTGCCAAAGGAGTTCTGGGCAGAAGCAGTGCAATGTGCCATCTATGTGCAAAATAGATGTCCACATGCTAAGCTGAACGAGAAGACACCGCAAGAAGTTTGGAGTGGAAGAAAACCGAGTGTGTCTCACCTTAAAGTGTTCGGTAGCATAGCTTATGGTCATGTTCCAGCTCAACAGAGGACCAAGCTCGAAGATAGAAGAAAAAAGTATGTGTTTATTGGGTATGATGAAAAAACCAAGGCGTACAGGTTATTTAACCCAATAACTAAGAAGGTCATCATGAGCCGAGATGTTCAAATTGATGAAGAAAGCGAGTGGAGTTGGAACAACCCAGAGAAGGAGTCCATAGGAAGTAGAAGCTCGGAAATTGATGCACCACATACTGTGAGAGATCATGAGACTTCTGATGAAGAAGATAAACCTCTACAGCCCAGAGCGCGAAGTTTACAAGATATATACAACTCCACTGACGAAGTGCATGTTGTATGTCTCTTGGCAGATTCAGAAGACTTAAGTTTTGAAGAGGCCGTGCAGGAGAAAAGGTGGAGAAAGGCAATGGACGAGGAGATCGGAGCAATAGAACGCAACAACACATGAGAGCTAACTGATTTGCCCAAAGGAGCACGACCTATCGGCGTAAAGTGGATGTACAAGAAGAAGACAAATGCTGAAGGAGAAGTTGAGCGATAAAGCTCGACTCGTAGTGAAGGGGTACAAACAGAAAGAAGGAATAGACTATGACGAAGTATTCGCCCCAGTGACGAGAATGGAAACAATTAGGTTGCTGATTTCCTTAGCAGCTCAATACAGATGGACAATCTTGCAGATGGACGTGAAGTCGGCATTTATGAATGGAATCTTGGAGGAGGAAGTATATGTTGAACAGCCACTCGGATACATGCGAAGAGGAGAAGAGAAGAAAGTGCTGAGATTGAAGAAGGCACTTTATGGCTTGAAACAAGCTCCACGAGCATGGAATGAAAGAATTGACACTTACTTCAAAAGGAATGGATATGAGCAGTGTCCTTATGAACATGCTTTATACATAAAGAAGAAAGGAGAAGATGTGATGTTTGTTGCCCTATATGTTGATGATCTTATCTTCATGGGGAATAATGCCGAGCTAATTGAAGAGTTTAAAGAAGTGATGAAGAAGGAGTTTGAGATGACTGACTTGGGTCTTATGAAGTATTTTCTTGGCTTAGAAGTTGTTCAGGGAAAGGATGACATCTTTGTGTCGCAGGAAAGGTATGCTGAGGAGATCTTGAAGAAGTTTAAGATGACAAGTTGCAACCCGGTTTCCACCCCTATGGAACCTGGTACAAAACTTTCTAAGTATGCAGATGGAGACCAAGTTGATGCGAGCAAATACCGAAGTCTGATTGGAAGTCTTAGGTATCTTACAAATACCAGACCAGATTTAATACTAAGTGTTGGAATAACAAGTCGATATATGGAGGAGCCAAGGTATACTCATTGGAAGGCACTAAAGAGAATTCTACGGTATGTGAGAGGAACAGTGTCACTTGACCTAATGTATACTAGGATGAATGATTATCGACTAGTAGGCTACTCGAATAGTGACTGGTGTGGAGATGTTGATGACCGGAAAAGCACGTCTGGATATGTATTCTTCATGGGAAACACAGCATTCACCTGGCTTTCAAAAAAGCAGCCCATTGTAACGTTGTCAACTTGTGAAGCCGAGTACGTTGCAGCATCCTGGAGTGTCTGTCATGCAGTTTGGCTTAGAAACCTTCTAAGCAAGCTGGAGTTGAAGCAAGAAAGAGGGACTGTGATTCGAGTTGATAACAAGTCGGCCATTGAATTGGCAAAGAATCCGGTCAATCATGAGAGAAGTAAACATATTGATGTTCGGTTTCACTTCATCCGAGAACAAGTGAAAGAAGGAAATGTGGAGTTAGAGCACGTCGGAACCCGAACACAAGCTGCAGATATGTTCACGAAGCCACTGTCAACCACTCTGTTCGAGAACAACAAGAAGATGCTTGGAATGAAGGACAAGAAAAACATTTAAGTTTATGGGGGGATTTTGTTAGGTAAATATTAAATGCATGTAGTTGAGAGGTAGTGGTTATAAAGATAGTAGTTGAGAGGTAGTTGTTGTATTGAATGTATGTAGTTGAAAGGTAGTAGTTGTATTAAATGCATGTAGTTGAGAGGCCATATCCAAAGGGCCTATAAATTGACCATGCATCACTTATTGCAAACATATCAAGTGATAATATACTGAGTGTTTTATTTAGATACTTGTTTGGCATCAAATGGAATGTACTCAAAATTTGTCCCTTTATAGTCAATAGAGCTATCCATGAATCTCTCTGGATAAAACCTATCTGCTTCAGTCCAATAGTTTGGATCTCTTCCAAGTGCCCAAGCATTCACTATTACCTTACTTTCTAATGGTATATTGTATCCATTAATCTCTTGGAAGTAGAAGAGGAGATGGAGGGTGTAACCTTAGGGTCTCTTTGACTATTGATTTCAAATATATGAGTTCAGTGATTGAAGCTCCATCAACTCTTCCTTTCATATTGAATACCTCTCTCACCTCATCTTGTGCTTTCTTCATAACTCGTGGATCCCTTATTATCTCAGTCATTGCCCAATTAATCGTAGTTGGAGAGCTCTCACCTCCAGCAGCAAAGATGTCCTGCAAAGTAATTATCAGTTGGAAGATCAACTGTTTAGATTGTGAGAAACTATGTACTCATGCATAAAAAATTAATTGGAGAGGTCATGAGTGAGATGTATTCTGGTGTAAGTATTAAACATTTGTCTAAGGTCTAAAGAAAGGAGAGAGATTATGTTATTGAAAGAAAGGAAATTCAAGATGTGCTCATCCTTACCAGGATTATAGCCTTGATATTGTTATTAGTTAAGTAAATATCCTGGTTAGTATCATTACCATCCTGGAATTTGAGGAGAACATCTACCAAATCTTCCCCTAGGTCACCATGGCCTTCTTTGGCTTTTAACTTCGCCTCCCTGTGTTCACTGATGATACCTTCTAGTATGCGATCAATTTGTTGGTGCAATCTCTCAACCTTAGGCCTCAAACCACTAAAATGTTGAAGCCATTTAGCAGAAGGAAACAGATCTCCTATGTTCAAACCTGATCCAACTGTTATGGCTTCGTTTACCACTGATATGAATTTTTCTTGGTCTTCGCATTTCATGCCAAACGCAGCTCTTGAAATGATGTTATACACTGATGAAAGTAGTGCTTCGGTGAGGTTGAAGGGCGACCCTTTATGTGAATCAATCATTTTGACAAGATTGGTGAGCTCTTCTTCTCTTATTGGATGGAACGAGTTGACACGTTTATGGGTGAAGAGCTCCAGTGTGCATATTTTTCTTAGCTGCCTCCAATATTTTCCATAAGGTGAAAATATAATGTCTGTGGATTCGTAAGCCATTATATCTGAAGCCAGAATTTTAGGCCTTGACGCAAAGATGAGATCATGGGTTTTCATGATCTCCTTAGCATACTGTGGTGAGGAAACAATGATTGTGAAGACCTCCCCAAGTTGGAGATGCATCAAGGGGCCATATATTGTGGCCAAGTCTCTTAGTTTTCGGTGCAGTGATGATGAAACAAGATTGTGTATGTTTCCTATGATAGGTAGCTTCCATGGTCCCGGAGGTAGGTTTGGAGATGGCTCAGTTTTGATGAACTGCTCGTTATTTTGAGTGCCAAAACTATGAAGAGGAGAAAGGACATTGCAAGGCCTAACACGTGAAGCACTTGAGACTCCATGGCGAGAAAAGAGTGTGTAGTAAGGGATTCCAAAGTTATGAAAAAGTTGAGGATTTTGGTTGCTTTGGTTGTTGTGTCTTGGTTATAGTGGTTTATGCTGAAGCAGAAAGAATCTTTGGGTGTATTTGGTTTTCATAACCATCAGCAAATATGAAAATGCAGTAGATAGTAGTGTGATCCAGCTATTTACGCATGTCCACAAGAAAATATATTTTTTCCCATTACCAAGCATGTCCTCACTTAACCCACTTGAGTTTATACCAAGTTCATGTTTGATTTTATTACTTTTATTATAAAAAATTAAAAATACGTAATACAAGTCTGAGTTGAAGTTTTAAATTAAATAAAAATAATAAAATTAAATAATATATAAGTGACAAAACAATAACTTACTCATCAAATATATTAAAGGTTGATTTTGGATGCAAAGTTGAAAAACAGTTACAAGAAAAGTTAGAAAATCAAGATAAAAAAAATACAAAATTTTGCCGTTAAAATTCCCTATTTATTATGTATAAAGAAAAGAGGAAAAAGTTAATATTAATGATTATATCTCCATTTTTTATATAAAATATTATTTTGTATATTTTAATTATTATAATAATAAGTAAATAACTAAAAATATAATAATAAATAAATTTATTTAATATTAATAAATAAATATTTTAATTAATTATATCAATTTTATTATTTATAATTTATTATTATCTATTTTTTTCAATCTAACCAATCTTATTTTCTAGTATTTTTCTCTTCGTTTCCACTCGCTCTTATCCCAAAACATTAAAGACAGGACCATATCCTCGTAATCCTCTAATATGGTTGCTATATTTGTAAGTAGGAGATAAAGGGTGAGGATAATGTTTACTGTTGGGAATATGGTGGCATACTCGTGACTTCTCCTGAAGAATTGACTGTATAATTGTTGACTTTAAAAAATATGATGATGTTGACTTCAAAAAATTATATATATATATATATATATATATATATATATATATATATATATATTTTACTGGCTTTTTAGTTGCAGACATATTGACACATTTAAATATTAAAATTATAAAAAAAATATTATAATTTTATATTATATTATTAAAATATATAATTATTATAATTTAAATTTTAAATTTTAAATAATTAAATTTAAATTATAATAAAATATTTTAATATTTAAACATAATAATTTTTTAAATTTATTTAATAAAATTATTAATTAATATATAGAAGTGTAAAAAAAATAATATATATATATATATATATAAATAATTTTTGACCCATTGGATAAAATGAGTTATTAAGTCTCAAAATTCGTAGGTAATTTAATAATGTTAGTTCATCGTCCGTTTTGACACATTTTATTAGATGACAATAATATTTGCATTTGCAGAGATGAATTAATATCATCCAGATTTTATAAGAAAAAAATCAATAGGTAGGTTAATTAAAATATTTTCTATTTTAGAAAAATTAAGATCAAGTGTTTCATTGTTGTGTCTCTAATCCTATCTAGTTTGCTAACCCTCGTTATATTAAAAACAAGTGGACTAGTCTATTAACCTGTATTTAAAAATATTTATATATTAAATTTAAATAATAATTATAATTTTTTATATTATATTATGTAAATATATTATAATTTAAATTATAACTACTAATTAATTAAACATAATTTATTAATTATAATTAAATATTTTAATATATAAATATAATATATAAATATATATTTTAATTTATTTAATAAAAATATTAATTAATAAATAAAAGTTTAAAAATTATTAATACAGTTAAAAGTATATTTTTTTTAAATTAATATAAATAAATTATATATAAAAAATATATATTATTATTACCTGGCCACTAATCCATTAATCAGATGTATAATTATTAGGACACACTGACATGACAGGCCGAAGAATTCTTAAGCTGGCAGCCTAAGATTCCTTTAAAAAAAGAAAAGAAAAAAAGAAACCTCATATGACAAAAAATCGAGATGCTCTCTCTTCGCTATGTTTTAATGACATGTCACATCTTCGCCAATAAAATACAGGAAAAACTATTAGGTAGTAGGTAGAATTAAACAAAACCGTACGAAAAAGGATCAAATTTAAGATTTATTTTAAAGAGTCTGTTTTTCATTTTTTAACTGTTTATATAACCTGCCTTTAGGATATATATTAAATATCAAGAGTATTTATTGCTAATTTTTTATACAATATTTTTAAATAACAAATAATCAACAGAGACTTAAATAGTTAAATTAATAAAATAAATAATAATAATTATTTATATTTTTTCACTTATATATAGAAAATATAAAATAAGAAATATAATTTTTATTTTCTTTTTAAATCTTTTTTGTCTTATACATTTTTTTACTGTTTTTTCTATTTGTTTTATTGGTTTGTAAGATTTTTTTTATCATTGATAATATTAGTGTGATTTTGACATATTTTAATTGCATAATATAATCTTATTTTAAGACAATATTTAATTTATTAATTTTTTATTCATTAAAAAGTTTTCATGTTTTTTTTTGTTTTCATTATAATAATACGACTGAATAAAATTTTTGAAGTTTTTTTATTATGATATTTTATTTAAATTTTGTTGTTGTTATTATATTATTTTGTTTAAATTCTCTTGATTTTTACTTTTAAAGAAATAAAAATAATAAATAAATTAATATGATAATAATTAAAATAAATTAAATAAATAAACTAATATTTATTTATTTTATACTCAATAGTACAGGTTAGTCTAACTTAATTTTTAAAGGACATAATTAATATTTTATAGTTTTTCTTAATCTTTCACGTTCACATTAAACAATACTTTTTTTATGTTTTTATTTTTCTTTTATAAATTTTAATCTTTCACTTTTATTGTGTTATATGTTATGTACTTTCATCATAACTTCCAATAATGATTATTAGGATTTTTTATTATAATTGTAATTATTTTTTTAAGAAACATATAATATTAATAAAATGATTTTACACTTCATATATAATTATATTATTAAAAAAAAAACTATTTTTATTAAACAACTTCAATCCCCGTTCAACATTTGAAACCTAAATTGCAACTCAAAGAAGCATTAATCATATGTACCTGCATATTTCCAACATTTCCGTTTCATTCCTAGTTCCTATTACATTTCTCTGTTTTTGAAATAAAGCAAGAGTTTACCATGTTTACAGTGAGGTCACTCAAGTTGAGATAAACTGTCTTTTGATCAGATATTAAAGATATTCAACTTAAGGGTTGTTTCATGGCACTGCATTCTACTTAGCCTTCTTTGTTATATGCTTATTTCCGTACTCTCAGCATAATTCCCTGCAAAAATTTAATTAACATTTCTGGTGATCTCCTAACACAAGATTTTAGAAAATGGTAATTGTAAATTTGTTATAAGTTTATTGAGCATGTTTGGTTGATGCATGCACATTTCTCCGTGTTTATATATGTCCTATATCAATTCCAATATCTGAAGCAGAAATCAACGGTTATAGGTTAAGCAGATGATGGTTGGGATGTAGTTTCTTAGCAGGAGTAGTTTGAAAATAGGAATACAAAAAAATAATTACTTCAAACAGCAAGGTACTAATTCTCTAAGGTTTCTGTTATTAGTTAGTAATTTCAGCTATACAAGGGAAATCAGAGAAGCACAAGTAGAAACACAAGGAATGATGTAAATATCATGAACTGGTTAGTTCCCCATTTCAGCTGTCAATGCTACATGGTAAGTTGTTGTAGCGAAACTACACTTCTTAGAATGGAGACTCTTAATATAATTGTCTTCAACTTTGGATGCATAACAAAATCTTCAGAACTACTAAAATCAACAAAATTTACAAAGTTTCATTAAGTAGTAAATAGGTAATTCAAATTATAACTTTTTCTTATGATTATTATCTTCCCATGAAAGGACTAGAAGTCACTGGTATCAAATATAGGTCATCTTTTCTTCCTACGGTGATTCCAAACTTCTCGGTCATGTCCAAGTCCTCATTTTTCATTCCATTGGGAAGCTTCCAATCAAAGTGATACAACAAAAATGCAAGGGCCAGCTCAACATTTACTAAACCAAAGGTGATGCCTGGGCATATTCTTCTTCCAGCACCAAATGGAATATACTCAAAATTAATCCCTTTGTAGTCAATAGAGCTATCAATGAATCTCTCTGGATGAAACCTTTCTGCTTCAGTCCAATACTTTGGATCTCTTCCTATTGCCCAAGCATTCACAATTACCTTACTTTTGGCTGGTATATGATACCCTTTAATCTCACATGTCTGTCCACATTCTCTTGGAAGTAAAAGAGGAGCTGGTGGGTGTAACCTTAAGGGTCTCTTTGACAACTGATTTCAAATATTTGAGTTCATCCATGCAAGCTTCATCAACCCTTCCTTTCATATTGAATACTTCTCTCACCTCGGTTTGTGTTTTCTTCAATACTCTTGGATCCCTAATCATTTCTGCCATTGCCCAATTTATTGTAGTTGCTGCTGTCTCACCTCCAGCACCAAAGATGTCCTACATTGTAATTATCATTGAGTTTAAGCTTATGCAAGGATATCTCAAAAAGATAGTTATGTCTTTGATTTTTCTCATGCCGAGAGTATACTTATTAGAGTATAAAATGACATGTGTATTGGAAGGTCAACTTTTCAGATAAATTGTTTACATATCTATGACAAAATATGAAGACGTGAAAATAAATAATTTCTGAAAATGGAATATTATTGATGATCTTTTATCTTATCTCAAATCAGCAATATCTATTTAGCTTATGTCAAAACCTCTCATTATAATTAGGAATTAAAACAAAAACCATCCATAATATTTCCAGTGTCAAAACGTTTAACTGTTACAAAATGTTTCAATAAACCTTTTAAAGCTAATTAAGTCTTTGCATCAAAGAAAAATTAAGATCGACATGATTACGACCTCTTAACTTTCGACTCTCATCTAGCCTACTATATATGTTCTTCTCTCTAAACACTCCAAGTTCATTTCATCCTTCATCCCAATCAGCCTCTTGCAGTTCTCGAATAACACCTTAGAAAATGGTTTCGTGAAAATATCAACAACTTGATATTTACTTGCCACATGTACGAGCTCTACATTTCCTTCCTTCACATGTTTTCGGATGAAGTGAAACTGTAAATCGATGTGTTTATTTCTCTCATGATTGATCAGATTCTTCCTAGTTCAATAACCGATTCATTATAAACTCGGATTACGGTTGCATCAAGTTGTTCTCCTTCATTGAGTTTAGCAAATTTCGGAGTCACACTGCATGACACACACCACAATGCTGCTAAGTACTCGACTTCACACGTTGATAACGTTACTATGGGTAACATTGTGTTACCCATGAAGAATACATATCTTGATGTACTTTTCCGATCATCTACATCTCCACAACAATCACTGTCCGAGTACCTTCCCAAGTCGGTATTTGTCTGACCTTGTGTACCATAGTTTGAGAGACAATGTACCTTAGATATACTTCAAAATTATCTTTATCACTTTCTAATGAGAATAACTCGAATTTTCCATGAACAAACTAATAATCCTGACACTCAACAACAAATTAGGTCTAGTATTTGTGAGGTAACAAAGACTTTTAACTAAGCTTCGATATCTACTCGGATAAACTTGGTCTCCTCTTCAAATTTTGAAAGCTTTATCCTTGGTTCCATGGGGGTTGAGATTGAATTACAATCGGTTATCTTAAACTTGTCTAAGATCTCCTTTGTATATGCCTCTTAGGACACAAATAACCTCAACTCCTTTTGTCTTACTTCAAGGCCAAGAAAAAGCTTCATCATGCTAAGATCGGTCATCTCAAATTCAACCGTCATTGTTTGCTTAAATTCTTGAATCATTCTAGGATTATTTTTCATAAAAATGAGATCATCGACATATAGAGCAATAAACATCACATTGCCTCCATTCTTCTTCACATACAAAACATGTGGTTTGTGAATAAGTAATTGTCTGATAATTAGCAAGGAATATATATCTTTCTACTAAATAGGATGTATTGAATTCATAAATCATTAGATATTTTTTATGAATGTCAACTAAGTATCGTAAGTAAATTGCTCCCTATTGTTTACTTATTTGATAACCAGAGTTATTATTTGATAAAAGATCACTGAGTCAAACTCAATAGAATTTGATCAATCATTTTTTGTTGTTGTTAAGGTAGAAAATTGAACCAAGAATTCTCTTGTATAAACTCATTCTCCTTGAAGTAGGTATCTATTTGGTCATTCCATGCTCGAAGAGTTTGCTTTAGCCCATAAAGAGCCTTCTTTAGTCTCAATACTTTCTCCTTCTCGTCTTTCTTCACGTATGCGAGTGGTTGCTCAATATACACCTTCTTGAGCACACCATTCAAGAATGTTGACTTGATATCCATATGTAAGATTGACATTTGTTCTATGCTGCTAAAGAGATCAACAGTCAAACAATCTCCATCCTTGCAATTGGGGTGAACACCTCGTCATAGTTAATGCCTTCTTTTTTCTTGTACCCTTTCATAACCAAACGAGCTTTGTATCTCTCTAGCTCTCCTTGTGGATTGAGCTTCTTCTTGTACACCCACTTCACGCCAATAAGCTGAGCAGAGCTCGGCAACTCGGTCATTTCCCAACTACCATTTTGATCTATGACTTGGATTTCATCATCCATGACAGCTCACCACTTCTCAACTCATACAACCTCCTCAAATGTGATGTCCTCAAAATATGATAAAAGACAAAGAACATGTAGTTCATCAGTTGAATCATATAAGTCTCTCAAGCTTCTCATTTTTTGTCATGATTCATGCTCTTCTTCATCTTTTGAACTGATAACAGGTGGTGTTGATCGTCCAACAACTTTGTCATCTTCTGAACTTACTACTACAAGTGGAGTAGAAGCTCGGTTACATTCTGAGCAATCAACGACTGGAGATTTAGATCAGGCTCCTTTCGATTCTCCCCAGTTTCACTCACTTACTTCATCTAATCGAATATCCCAACTTACAATTATCTTTTTACTTATCAGATTCGACAACTTATAAGTTTTTGATGTTTTATCATAACTGATGAACACATACTTCTTACCCTTGTCTTCAAGCTTAATCCGTTGCTGAGACGAAACTACTCTATAGGCCAAACTTCTGACCGCTTTAAGATGAGACACAATCAGTTTCTGACCGCTTCATGCCTCTTTTGGTGTTACACCATCTACTTTTGCATGTGGACACCTATTTTGCATGTAAATAGCACACTATACCACTTCGACCCAAAACACTTTTGGCATATTCTTAGACTTCAACATAGCTCAAACCATGTCAAGAACCGTTCAGTTCTTTTTCTCAGCCACACCATTTTGTTGTGGTGAGTACGAGGCTATTAAAAATCTTCTTATTCCTTCATCTTCATAGCACTTCATGAAAGCACCTGACATAAATTATCCTCCTTTATCAGATCAGACTGATCGGATATGCCACTTGGTCATATTCTCAATCATCATCTTAAACTTTTTAAACACGTCAAACACTTTAGATTCTCTTTCAGTAAATACACCTACGTCTTTTTAGAGAAGTCATCACTAAATGTCATAAAATATTTTTATCACTGAATGACTCAAGGGTAATTGGTCTAAACAGATCATTATGAATCAACCAAAGTTGTTTATTTGCTTGGTACTTGACACTCCTCGAAAAAGGGGTCATCGCCAATTTTTCGATTACACATTCTTCACGGAATCCTTTTTCATTCTTCATGCTCGACAGTTCGAGCACCATACTCTTATTTGACAGCTTGGCAAGTCCTCCAAAACTCAAGTGGCCAAATCGATGATGCCAAATCAACATTGTGTCCTCCACGTCAAGCTTCAAACACTTCTCCTGAATACCTTTCAACTACAACTTATACACTAAAAAAAAAAAGCCTAATACCTACGGATAAAAATCCGTAGGTAAATTTTACATTACTTACGGATATTACCCACGAATAAAAATTCGTGGGTAAATTATACATTACCTACGGATATTACCTACGGAATTCTATCCGTAGGTAATTATCCATTACCTACGGATATTATCCGTAGTTAATGTAATCCGTGGATAATTCCGTACGTAATTACCTACGTAATTACTATCCGTAGGTAAAGTGTACATTACCTACGGATATTACCTACGGAATTCTATCCGTGAGTAATTATCCATTACCTACGGATATTATCCGTAGGTAATGTCATCCGTGGGTAATTCCGTAGGTAATTACCTACAAAATTACTATCCGTAGGTAAATAATATTAAACTAAAAGAATTGTCACTAGCAAGAATCGAACCCAGTACCTTAAAGTTAAAAACTGATACTCCAACTACTAAACTATTAGGATATTCTAATAATAATTTACAACTAAATTATACTTATATTTATTCATGTAAATATATAAATATATAAATATATAAATATATAAAAATATAAATATATATATATATATATATATAATATAAATATAAATATATAAATATATAAATATAAAAAATATAAAATATATAAATATATAAATATATAAATATATACATATATACATATATAAATATATAAATATATAAATATATACATATATAAATATATAAATATATAAATATATAAATATATAAATATATAAATATATAAATATATAAATATATAAATATATAAATATATAAATATATAAATATATAAATATATAAATATATAAATATATAAATATATAAATATATAAAATATATAAATATATAAATATATAAATATATAAATATATAAATATATAAATATATAAATATATAAATATATAAATATATAAATATATAAATATATAAATATATAAATATATAAATATATAAATATATAAATATATAAATATATAAATATATAAATATATAAATATATAAATATATAAATATATAAATATATAAATATATAAATATATAAATATATAAATATATAAATATATAAATATATAAATACATAAATACATAAATATATAAATATATAAATATATAAATACATAAATACATAAATATATAAATACATAAATATATAAATATATAAATACATAAATATATAAATACATAAATATATAAATACATAAATACATAAATATATAAATACATAAATACATAAATACATAAATACATAAATACATAAATATATAAATACATAAATACATAAATATATAAATACATAAATATATAAATACATAAATATATAAATACAAATATATAAATACAAATATACAAATATATAAATATATAAATATATCAAAATATAAATATATTTTATATTTATATTTTTTATATTTATATATATTTTATATTTATATATTTTATATTTATATATTTACACTGGATAAATATAAATATAATTTATTTGTAAATTATTATCAAAATATCCTAATAAGCTTAGTGATTGGAGTATCGGTCTCAAATTCAAGTGCTTGGGTTCGAATCACTGTCAATGACAATTCCCTTAATCTAATATAAAGGGGAGGGGGTTGTAATAAATAAAATATTTTGTTTAGGTGGGTGCATTACCTACAGATTTTACCCGTAGATAATAAGCGTTTTTTTTGTAGTGATACATCCTATTCTTCTTCATCTCAACCTGAGCAATCAGTCTTCCAAGTTTGTCCCTTAATTGGAACATTCGATATTTCATGATAACCGTGTACCTCTTCTCCATTAATTGTCCAATACTCAAAATGTTACTTTTGAGATCTGGAACAAAATACACATCTTGGATCGTTCCCACCAGTCCATCCTTCTATAAATAGCCAACTGTACCTCAGTCTTTTACCAAGACTCTCCAAGCATCTTCAAACGAAACAATACCAACATTTGTCTCCTTTAACTCTTTCAAAAAACGTTCATTATCATATATATGATTATTCGCCCCTGTATCCAAATACCATATTGATTGGTTATTGGTATTGGATTGAACTCCATCACACTGTAATCAGCTCCCAAGTGAATGACCAAATGTAGATCGAGCATCATGAGTATTGGTTCTTCTTGCCCTTTTGTGAGATAGGTCTCACCCATCTTCTGACATTCTTTGACGAAATGCCTCTCCTTTCTACAGTTAAAGCATTTTCCCGTTCTTCGCATAATATTCATATTTGCCACATTTGAAGCCCCAACGTCTATATAAATGATTACGTATGGGGAATATTGAAACTGTCCTTTCTAGCAGTATTGCTGCTGTCTTTTTTGTAGCTTTTGTGGTTGTTGGAACTATGTGGTATGGTTCATCAACAACCTCCATTGAATTATTTGGTCCTACTCTTTGAGTGGTTTGTCGACCGACCTCCTCTCAGTCCATGTCTTCTACATCATTAGTTTTGTTGAACTCTTTCTTCCTTCTCGTTACCTTGGACAGATCGGTCACCTCGGGTTCAACCACGACCTCGTTCTCGTCTTCTATTATTCTGGGAATATAGTGTTTTCTTCTCTTTTAACTCGGCCTTTAACACTTGTATAGTCGTTTCCTTCTTCATCTTCTTCCTCCGATACTCATGGGCTCTAAGCGAACCAATCAATTCCTGAAGTGTGAGTTTATTCATCGCGGTTTTGACATGAGTGATGTACTCGAAAACTTCTTCTGAGTCTTTCATTCTCATACTTTTAAACTCGCTATACAGGGTTTGTAACCAAACCAAACTTGTTTGAATTAGATCATCACCCTTGTATGTTGTCTCTAACGTTGTCCACGCTTCTTTTACAGAATTAACATTTGTAATCTTCTGAAAATCGGCATCTTCTACAACTTGAAATAATATGAACGGAGTTGCACTGTCTTTCTCACTATTTTTCTTCAACTCTTCGAGTTTATTGACAGTCAATTCTTCCATGGTCTCAAGTTCTTCAAAACCTTTCTCTTCTATTTCCTAATAACTCTTGGGCTTTAAGGAAAGTCTTCATCTAGACACTCCATTTATCATGACGTTCTTCGTTAGTCAGGACACAACCGTAATATTTATCAGATCAACCATTTCACTTTTTTAAACATTCAACACTAAATCCTTAGTCTAGCTCACCTAAAAAACCATAACTCTAATACTAATTTGACAACATTTTTTTTTTTTTTAAACTGAATATTATTAATGATTTTTGGTCATATATCTCGTGTGGAATAAAATGACTTATTTAACTTGTTTGTACCAAAACCTCTAATCATAATTAAGAATTAAAATAATGAACACCCAAAAAATATCATCTGTCTCAAAATATTTAACAGTTACAAAACATTCCAATAAATCTTTCAAAGATAATTATTATTAATTTTATGTAAGAAGTTGATTAACGATTGATTTTCCAATTATTAGTTATAACTTATCAATATTCATGAAAGAAATCTCCTATTTTAAAGTAGTCAAATCAAAAAGTATATGCAGAAAGCATCCCATCAATGATCACATACTGCATAATTTTGAAGAGCTCATGTCGGAGATGTTGTTCTGGTGCTAGTATTAAACATTTTTAAGTTCTACAGAAAGTAGTGAGATTATCTCCATAAAATAAACGGTTTAGGAGACGTTATTATGCTTACCAGAATTATAGCCTTGATATTGTTGATAGTTAAACAAATGTCCTGGTTTCTTTCATTACCATCCTGGTATTTTAGGAGAACATCTACCAAATCTTCCTCTGCTTCACCTTGGCCATCACTGGATTTTGACTTTGCTTCTATGTGTTCATTGATGATTCTTCCTAGTATCCGATCAAAGTGCTGATGCAGTGTCTCGAGTTTAGGCTTCAAACCACTAACAAGTTGAAACCATTTAACAGAAGGAAAAAAATCTCCAATGTGAAATCCTGTTGCAATTGTCTTGCCTTCTTTTATCAATGATATGAATTCTTCTTGGTCTTTGCATTTCATGCCAAAAGCAGCTCTAGCAATGATGTTATATATTGAAAGAAGCACTGCTTCAGTGAGGTTGAAGGGCGACCCTTTATGTGAATCAATCATTTTGACAAGATTGGTGAGCTCCTCTTCTCTCATTGGCTTGAAAGAATTGACACGTTTATGGGTTAAAAGCTCCACTGTGCATATTTTTCTTAGCTGTCTCCAATAATTCCCGTACGGTGCTGAAACGATATTTGTGGATTCATAGGATATAATATCAGAAGCTAGATTTCGAGGCCTTGATGCAAAGATGACATCATGGGTTTTCATGATCTCCTTAGCATATTCTGGTGAGGAAACAATGATTGCGAAGAGCTCTCCAAGTTGGAGATGCATCAAGGGTCCATATATTTTAGCCAACTCTCTTAATTTTTGGTGTGGTGTAGATGTGACAAGATGGGGTATGTTTCCTATGATAGGTAGCTTCCATGGTCCTGGGGGTATGTTTGGAGATGACTCAGATTTTTTGAGATTGGTCCCTATTTTGAGTGCCACAACCATGAAGAGGAAAAAGGACACGGTAAGGGCTAAGATGTTGAGTACTTGAGAATCCATGGAGACAAAAGAGACTCGTAAGGGGTTCTTAAAGTGCTGATAAATATAAGGATTTTGGGTGCAGTTTGTTGCTTGTGGTGTCTAGTGGTTTCTGGTGCATAAAACTTTAACGAGATGAAGCAGTTGGTAGGTTTAATTTTCACAAACATTTAGTATGGCCCACCTGTTATCATCGTTCATAGACTACCACATTAAAGCAGGTAAACTGGTTGCGTGATGCTTTTGTTGATTTCTAACGAAAGGATGTGTTGTGGTTGTGTCTTTGCACATGAAAAGATAACTCATCTAACTATGTATTAGATCATGGCCTTTCCTTTTTCAATCCTCTTTGTTCTAAATGCATTATTGAGCACCCAATTTTGCCAATTCCACCTCCGAGCTTTAACAAAAACACAAAAATGACCATTTTAATTGTTCCCAACTTCCTCCCCTTCAAAAATCAATTTCTCACACACCTCATAACTCTTCAAATTTGAAACATTGTAATTCCTAAGGCTCTCCAGGAAGTAGATTTGCAACTAATTAAGGCTTTTAATTTAGTATTTCAATTTTTTTTTGGTTTATATATTTTATATTGTTGCTTCTAAGGTGGCAAATTAGATATATAGGATAAAATGTATTTTGGACGGTATTTAATCGAATAAAAAAATTATTAATCCATTTTTACTTATTAAAAAATTAACTAAAAATCTAATTTGAACCATTTAATAACAATTCAATTCAATTTATCCATTAACATTTTTTGAAAATTGTATTTTATAAAATTTTTTTGAAAAAAATTATAAAACAAATTTTTAATTATTTTTGAAGAAAAATTAATAAATTTTGTCCATTCATGAAAAATCCTTTAGACGGTGTCAAGAGAATTCTTAAGTATCCTAGGCACTATCTCTCCTGGCCACATGCAACCCTGCTAGTGGTGACAAACCTTTATGATACGTTGTTTCTTCTCATCCCCGTATTTTTTTTTCTTATCCCATATTTATCTAAAATATAATATTGCTTCCATTATAAATAAATTTTAAAAATAATATTATAAATAATATTTCTGAAAAATACAATCTGAAAATGAATTTTATACTTTTAGAACGTTTCTCTAGATTGTATTTTTTTAAAGAAAACTTTTAAAATATATTTTTAAAGAATATAATCTAAAAATAATTTTAAAGGTATTTCAGAATGTATTTTCAGATTATATTTTTTAAAAATATATTTTGGATTCATTAATATAAAATTTATTTTTGGATTGTATTTTTCAGTATATATTTTTCAGAAAATATTATAATCTAAAAATAAGTTCTAGATTATTGAATTCATGATATATTTCTGAAAAATATAATTTTGAATACTGCAAATCAAATTACTTTTTTTACAAAAAATTTGAGTGCATAATTCAAAGAATAAATCACTAATAAATTTACAACCTTAAAATGAAAATGATGTTTGAACATACATGCAGCAGGAATTACAACAAAATGTTAGTACGAAGGTGTGGTATAAAAAGGAAAAATCGATCTCAAAGACATTTTACCTATGTTATAAGGGTGCATGGATGGAGGTATAGGACGAAAAAGTTTATAAATATGCTATCATCTTAATGCCTTTTTTTTTATTTATATAAATTATTATATAATTTATATTATTCTTTATTTGTAATGGATTAATATTAATTAATATATTAATTATTTGTAATTATCAATTATATTACATATTATTATTATTATTATTATTTTATAAATAATAATTTAATTTAAATTTATGATGAATGATTTATAATGAATTGGATTGTTCAAAATAATTTCCTTATTGAAAAATTCCCGATCTCTATTAGTAAGTGTATAAAACTGATAATCCATTATGAGTTCTACTAAAAGCAACGTAAAAACAGTTTTCATAATATGTTCAATACTAACCTATAAAAAAAGAACAATATTTTTTCATATCCATTATATGATGTTAAACTATTCTAGATACACAATCTTTCTATGAATTAATCATTTTCTTGGTAGTCAACTGAGATCACAGGACTTAAAGCTCTGTTAAAAGAACTGTTGGCTCCTTTTAATACCCTTGTGTCTTCCTATGTCATAATCAAAGTGCATTGAGGTTCTAACCAACTAACTTTTGATTTATCACATCCTAGTTCTAATTTTCAGACTATTCACTAGATATCTCTCCAGTAAAAAAGACAACCTTATTGTGAATGATTTTCTACAAAACTTCTTATATTGCTACATGATGATGAAGTATTATATTATATGAGAAGTAACATTAACTTGGTACATGATATGATACACAGTTTTAGGATATCCTATTTTATCACTTTTTGAAATAAATTTTATTACATGCATCGTGTTAAAGATGCTTTAGTGACTTCTTGATCCGGGACCGAATCCTACTCACCCTTCTTTCCCTGCATGCTTGCTTCCCTATTCTGCAAAATACATTAACAACTTTTTAAAGAGAAATTGTAGGAGTTTTCGTATATGTGTATATTTAATATATGAATATTGAAGTTTTTCTTTCACGTATATTTCCAAGTTTTATTTATAATATATATATATATATATATATATATATATATATAATATTAAATATTTTTAATTTAAATATAAATTAAAATAATAATATAATTTTTTTATTTTAAAACATATTAAAAATCTTTTAATACTTAATTTAAATAAAAAATAATAAAATAATATTATCAATATTTATATTATTGTGATATATGATTATTTAAATTTGATATATATTTTTTATAATTTTTCTCATGAGATCATCTTTTCATTTAATTTAATTGTCTAATTATAACACTTATTCTTTGCAATCACTTGCAAACAATTTTTTTTTCAACATAAAAGTTTCTTCTCATAAGACTTTTTCTTTTCTGCATTGAAAATCTTCTATTTAGCTTATATAACATGTTAGAATTTTCTTTTCATGATCATATTTCAATTGTCTTTCATCCTTAAAGTGTAACTTGAAGAAGAAATTTCTATTCTTAGAACACCTCTTCTTTTTTGTGTTATTTTTTGTTTCATTATCTTTTAATGAAGATAAATTCATTGGTTTAATCTAACTAAACATGAAGCTTCTATATTTCATGATCACAATTTTTTAGTTCTTCATTTTTCTTCTTAAGAGTCTCCTATTCGGTCTTTAATGAACTCTCTGATCTTTTCTTTCTCAAGATGTATTTGTGACAATATTTCTTGTATCTCTAGCAATTCTTTTTCAAGCAATTATTGCTTATTAGTTGTTAGGGTTTTTTCTTTCAAAGCTTTTTGCCCCTCTTTCTGGATATTTTATATTCTTATTTCAAATAATCTCAAAATTTTTTAGATGACTTTAGGATCATGATTTTGATGATAATTATTTGTGAAATATTTTCATATAAGCATGACTTCTATTTTGTCTTTCTTATTTTTCTTTTCTTCTGAATTTTAAATTAAATTATGGTGAGATTTTCAGGTAACAAATAAAATGATGTAATTATCTTCCATAAATTTTCATAAATCTTGTCTTGCATTCTCACGACTCATAAATAATAAGTTTTACCATTGAAAAGTAGAATAACAACTTGTGAGAATTTTCTTTTTCATTCCATTCTTCTCATACAAATCAAAGCTCTTGATAATAATTTAATGGTTTTTCTTATGTGTATATTTGAGATATGAAATGGTGGAGTTTTTCTCTCATGTGTATCTCCATATTTTATTCATATACTCATATATTTTATATATAAAGAGAGTAAAATATAATAAAATATTAAATATTGTCAATTATAATTACCTAAATTTAAATAATAATGTAATATTTTTTTCTTTTATTTTAAAGAATAAGAAAAACTCTTAATATCTAATTTAAATAAAAGATAATAAAGTAATGTTTTTTAATAATTTTCTAATAAGGTTCTAATACAAGATTACATCATGCTAATTCTAAATTTGTTAAATTTGTTTACTAAGCATATTTGGTTGATGCATAATATATGTCAATTTATTCTTTATTTTGTGATCTAAAAATATTTTTTAAACTAATTAGTTTTTTCATAAACCATGCATTTAATATGTTTTTATTAAAAACATAACATACTTTAATTTTCTTAATTTGTTCCATTTTGCATAGTTTTAGCATCAAAAAATACATTCATACATCCATAATGTATATATTTTTTTCTTTATAGGAGAAAGGTAATGTAAGATGAATCAAATTGATGGAAATAAATGTCTAAATTCATAGCAAATATCATGTGTAACCAAACTTTACTATTTTTATAAGTCCAAATTTGTTTGTGTAGCTCACTTGCGCGGAACATTCCAAATGAAAATTTTGAATAAATCAAATCAACTATTGCAGGGATCTAATTGAACTAAATTAAAGGCTGCGAAAATCAAGAATAAAATATAAATCAATGTTGGATAAACTCAAATCAGGAAAGGAACCAAAATTCTCCAATCAATTTCATAAATTTCTCGTTGTGCAATAATTAAGTGCTGCAATTTTTAATTGAGAAAATATTTGATTTTATTGTAATTAATTTTAAACTTATTTTCTTTTGATCATTTTCTTCTCTCCCGTTTTCATTCCCAATTTTTTTTAGTTTAATTTTTAGTTTGACAAACTTAGTAAGAATCTATTGTAACTTTTCAGTTTTTTCTTCTTTTATTTAATTTGTAATTTCTTTTAAATTTTTTAGTTTAGTTTTTAGTTTAGTTTTTAGTTTGACAAGCTTAGTAAGAATCTATTATAACTTTTCAGTTTGTTTTTCTTTTATTTAATTTGTAATTTCTCTTAAATTTTTTAGTTTTATATTATTGAATTTACTTTATTCATCCACACTCAATTTAATTTCTATTACCTACTTGTTTTAACAATCTTATCTTTTTTTCTTTGCTAGTTGCGCATGCAATTCTCAACTTAATTTTAGATTTATTTCTTTAAAAAATTTTAAATTTAATTATTGCACTATTTTATTTTAAAATAATTTTTTATTCTACACTTTATTCCGACAAGTTTTAAACTTAATTTAAAGCACTATGTTTAATTTTTGTAAATTCTAGTTATTTTAGTTTGCATTATTATTCTTTTGGAATTTAATTTTAATTCTCATTATTTCGCTTCAATTTATTTTTTGCTTTTTCATTTTATTATCATCAATCTCTTGTTTACTGTTTTTAGAGAAAATGATATTTGGTAAGACAGTCAACCCGCCTCCCCTTGTTTTTTTTGGGTTAGAGGCGAGTTAGACCAAAATAGGATAGGTTTGTCTGTTTTGTCATCTTTACCTTTGAATATTAATCTTTTTTTTAGATTTAAATTCAAAAATTAAAGCCTTGCTAGAAAAATGAGAAATGCCAAAGTTAAAAAAAAATTATGTATCAAAAGGAATAAAGGAGCTCAGTGTCAAAGGAGTAAAGGAGTTCGGAATGCACTCGAATACAAAAGTGGCAAACGAAATATGTCACTAGAACAAGTTACAAGATACATTAACCCATGTTTTTTATTTTTTATTAACCTTATATCTTAACCTAACCTATCCTTGACCCTAGTCCCATTACAAGTCAAGTAAAAGTCTTATTAATAGATTGAGGTACGCGTTTTTTATTAAACTTGGGACACTAGCAAAGATTAATAAATAATTTTTAAATTTTAAATCATTCATAAAACCATATAATATTAGAAACACAAATTAAGGATACAAAATATAATTAGTTATGGCTCTAGAATAACATATCATAAAAAAATCCTATTTAGAAAAAAATAACTAAATATTTTTTTAGAAGATAAAGCAATACAATTATTTTTAAAATAAAAACAACAAAAGTAAATATAACTATTTTATTCTATTATGTTGATAAATTTTCTAAATTTAATAAATTACAAATATTATTAAGTTTATTTTGTTAAAAGTATCAGTGGGAGACAAGGACCCTTCCCAATAACCTGCATAGGTTCTGTAGAAAGCACATGATTATCTTATCAATGACAGATTGACATGTTTTGCAGGAGCAAGATTATCTTCATAAATTATAAAATGTGTTTCTTCCTACCAGAATTATAGCTTTGATATTGTTCATATTTAAGCAAAAGCCCTGGTTGCTTCCATTTCCATCCTGAAATTTTAGGAGAACATCTATCAAATCTTCTTTGCTTCACCTTGGCCATCTTTATCCGTTGACTTTTGTTTTCTGTGCTCATTGATAATATTATCTTCTAATTTCCGATCCATTTGTCCATACAGCATATCAAGCTTAGTCCTCAAACCAGTAACAAGTTGAAGAGATGGCTCAGTTTTGTTGAGATTGCTCGATATTTTGAGTGCCAAGACTATGAAGAGGAGAAAGGAGACGGTAAGGATTGTTAGGTACGAGAAACGGTCTTATATTTCGTATGATATATACTAAGGTTAAGATTAATTCTTATTTAATAATTTTCATTTTAAAACTCTAATTTGTCACGGATGCTTCATGGATTGATATGGAAAGATTTATATAGATTGTTGTTTTTAATTTATTTTTTCTTCAAATGAACATTTTTATAATATTGTTATAGAAAAAAACTACATAGAGTTGTCAAACTTTGGCAAGTGTAAATAATAGACCACCAATGAATGACATAGAATAAAGTTAGGCAATCTATGACTAAACAAAGTTTTATTATAGTTTACAGCAAGGTCACGGGTGGATGTATTTCATAAAAAGTTTCATGTTGTTATAATTCAATTTGACATTATGAAAATATATAAAAACTTTCTTTAATCATGAAACAATCAATTTATTCGGTTAAATTCTTTCAATAACACCACATTATAATCGAACTTTTTTTTTCCTTTCCTTTAGTGTTTTCAAGGAATTTAAGAAATTCAAATTTGGGTTGATTTTTAATCATGGATTCCATCATTTTCCTTCATCTTATTGCTATATTATGATTATGGCGTTTATTAACTTACTATCAAAGAACGTATACCTATTTTTCTATTCTAAAAATGAATTATTCTAGTAGATAATAACATATTAAATGTACTAATTATATTTAGTTTTGTTACAATATTTATTTATTTTATTTTGTCACTAAGGAAACGTAATTTAAATTCGATACATATTTAAAATCTATACAAACAATTATCTTTCCAATGGTTCACAATTTTTTATGGAATTAAATCCGTTACAAATAAATATGATTCTATGACACCTATGTTCATGAAATACGTTGTAACTAATTATGACGAAAAATTTGATAACAATTAGAAATACATTAAAAATGTCTTGATTCATATGCCATTCTCTGACTTATTTATAAAGTTGTGGGGATATTAGTTCCATTGGAGATATGATTGCCAAAGAAAAAAAATATTGTGACAAAGAATTTTGTAACATTGTTTTTGTGATGAATAATTATCTGCCACAAATTTTGTCATTATTCTTTAGATGGGATTTAATTTATTTTGTGACGGATTACTATGTTGTTAGTATTGAATTTTGAAATGGTTTGAATAAGTAACTTAGCTTTTAATATTTTTTGCACATACACTTTAATAATTTTATATTTATTATTTAAACATAAAAATATCAATAAAATAAAATTTTTAAATACATTCATTCCCACGTAATATTATACTATAGGAGACGTAACATTAACTTAGTAAATGGTGTGATGCAGGGTTTTACGTAACCTATTCTATCACTTTCTGAAACGCACTTATTAGATAGTATAAACTGTTTCTGCATCGTATTAAAGATGTGTATCAGCTTTAGAGGCTTCTCGATCCTGGGACTGAATCCTACGCACCCTTCTTTCCCTGCAAGCTTGCTTCCCTATTCTGCAAAAAATATAAACAACAACTTTTCTGTTAATGTTCTAATACAAAACTATATCACGGTAACTCTAAATTTGTTATATTTGTTTTCTGAGCATGTTTGGTTGATGCATATGCATGTTTAATGTTTATATATGTGCTATGTATAAACTAGATTATGATGTTTACATATGTCCTACACATCCCTTGAATTTGAAAGGAGAAGAAAATAAATTTATGGCCTGCTACATTATGAATGAAGACAACTAAATAATGGGGCTGCTGCTTTTCCAAGCATATTTTTCTGGTATGGTTTATCTTACCAGGATAGGTCGAGCAGTGACTGGTATCAAATATAGGTCATCTTTTTTACTAACAGAAAGTCCATATTCTTCAGACATGTCCAAGTCCTCTTCTTTCATTCCATTAGGAAGCTTCCAATCAAAATGATACAATAAAAATGCGAGAGGCATCTCCACATTTATCAGACCAAGGGTGCTGCCTGGGCACATTCTCCTTCCAGCACCAAATGGAATGTACTCAAAATTAGTCCCTTTATAGTCAATAGGGTTATCAATGAATCTCTCTGGATAAAACCTCTCAGGTTCAGTCCAATAGCTTGGATCTCTTCCAATAGCCCAAGCATTCACAATAACCTTGTGTTTGACTGGTATATGATACCCTTTAATCTCACATGTCTGTCCACAATCTCTGCCAACTAGAGGCAGCGGTGGATGTAACCTTAGGGTCTCTTTCACAACTGACTTCAAATATTTGAGTTCATCAATGCAACTTTCGTCAACCCTTCCTTTCATATCGAATGCCTCTCTCACCTCAACTTGTGCTTTTTTCATTGTTTTTGGCTCCCTTATCATCTCTGCCATTGCCCATATGATGGTAGATGACGATGTGTCACCTCCTCCAAGAAATATATCCTGCAAAGTAATTATCAACTTTAGAGAGTGAAGGTACAACTTTCGATTGGAAGATAAGCACTTTAGATTGTGGGAAAAAAAATGCACGTATAACAAACTATGCTGTTGAAGTGTCCCTTTGATTGATTTTCCCATTAGTAGTCATAGCTTTGTAATAGCCCTCTAAATGTACCCCTCACTTTAAAGGAATCAAATTCGAAAGGTATATGCTGAAGACATCGAATTTTACTACACGAAAATTGCAACATACTGCAAAATGTTGAAGATCTCACGTGAGTACGCTAGAGTAATAAGAATCAGAAAGAAAAGTTTTTACACAATTTTATTAAAGTGAATTTTTGGTTATCTGAATTTAAAGAAAAAAAATATTTAGCCTTTTTGAAGTATTTGTAAAAGTAATTTAAATTTCTAAATACTAATTTTGAAAGAAAAAAATAGTTTTATTATAGAAAATTTCTGTTTCGCATAAAATATCTAAAATATTAAATGTAATTATAAAAATTGTTATATATATATATATATATATATATAATATCATTAGTATTATTATAGGATAATAATATTGATCACTACTTTTCACATATCACAATTTTTTCATTAATTTATAATAAAAATTAATATTTAGCATAAGTTTACATTTTTTAGGAATATCTCTTTAGTTATATTCTTTTTTTTATTCAAAATAAAACACATTATTTATCATATGATAATAATCATGAATCATAAAATATTTTAAATTTGTAACATAGAGACAATGAAATAATAATATATGTATATATATATATATATATATACTGATTGTGTGTTTTGAATTAAAAAAAAAAAAAAACTGTTTGGCAAGCGTCCCTAAAATTATATCATGTTTTTAGCTTTTAAAAACTAAAAAAATTTAAAATTGATAAGATGTATATATTTTTTAAAATTTTCTAATCTCATGAGCATTTTCACTAAGGTATATGTATAGATTGAGTAGGATTTGATCAAATCCATCATCCAAGCTAATAGTAAAAAAAAACTTTAGGTCAATATAATCTATTTAGCTTCATGATGGATTTCACATGAAGTTATTGAAGTTACCTTCCAACATTTAAAACTAAATTTTATTAAAATCAATGTCATCGTTCTTTTTAATTTCAAATAATTTTTAAATTACAATCATCAAATAAGTTCTTTTTTAATTTATTTTCAAAAACAAATTTTTAAAATCTATTTGACAAACTAGTTTTTAAAACTGAAAAAACAAATTAAATCAAACATGTCATTAACATTTTTTTCTTTTACAAAAATATATAGAGAAGTGTTTGGATTCATACATTTAAACCCTAAAACATAATTAAGAATCATAATTCAAAGCATATGTCAAAATACCAAATAAAAAAAATATACAAAGAATAGGAAAGAGAAAATATTTGTTATTGTGTCAAACCTTAAACTATAATTCCTTTATATAATTTTTTAATTAAACTTAACACGTTAACAAAATATAATAAATAACATGTATTTTTTAAATCATCCATAATATATAAAATATTATAAAGATAGACAAATAAAATCTTGTATATATAATTAGTTACAGCTCTAAAATGAACATATAATAAAAGCAAAATACTATGAAGAACTCAAAATTTTAATAGATAAATCAATATAATTATTTTTGAAATAAAAAAAATAAAAATTATATATATTAAATATAAAATTAAAAAATAAATCAGTGGGGGCGAAGGACCCCGCCCATCAACCTGCTTAGGTTCTGTAAAAAGGAGCAAGCTTATATTATCAATGAAAGATTGACATGTTTTGCAGTAGCAAGATTATCTTCATAATAAACAAAGTATTTACAAAATGTGACTATCCTTACCAGGAGTATAGCTTTTATACTGTTTATAGTTAAGCAAATGTCCTTGTTGCTACCATTTTCATCCTGGAGTTTAAGGAGTACATCTACCAAATCTTCCGTTGACTTTTGCTTTTTGTGTTCATTGATGATATCTTCCAATGTCTGATCCATTTGTCGATGCACCTTCTCAAACTTAGACCTCAAACCAGTGACAAGTTGAAGCCACTTAGCAGAAGGAAATAGATCTGCTATGTTAAAACCTACTCCAACTGGTACTCCTTTTAGCACAGAAAGGAATTGTTCTTGGCTTTTGCTCTTCATGCCAAACGCAGATCTTGAAATGATATCAAATATTAACGAAAGTATTGCTTCAGAGAGGTTGAAGGGAGACCCTTTATGTGAATCAATGATTTTGACAAGACTGGTGAATTCTTCTTCTCTTATTGGCTGGAATGATTTGACACGGTTTTGGGTTAAAAGCTCCATTGTGCATATTTTTCGGAGATGTCTCCAATAATTTCCGTAAGGAGCATAAACAAGATCTGTGGATTCATATAACAGTATATCTGAAGCTAGGATGTGAGGCCTTGATGCAAAGATGAGATCATTAGTTTTCATGATCTCCTTAGCATACTCAGCTGAGGAAACAATGATCATGAAGATCTCCCCAAGTTGGAGATGCATCAAGGGCCCATATATTTTGGCTAAGTCTCTTAGTTTTCGGTGTGGTGATGATGTAATAAGATTGTGTATGTTTCCAATGATAGGTAGCTTCCATGGTCCTCGGGGTAAGTTTGGAGATGGCTCAGTTTTGATGAGATTTCTCGTTATTTTGAGTACCAAAACTATGAAGAGGAGAGAGGACATGATAAGGGCTAATACGTTGAGTAGTTCAGAATCCATGGTCACAGAACAGAGTAGAGAAGTAAGGTTTCTAAAAGTCCTGATAAATATGAGGATTGCTATATGCTGCTTTTATAGTGTTTTATTTTCTTATGAAAACATCACATGCATGTTATCCAATCTTACTCAAGAATCACCTAATAACTAAACTAAACTTGATGTTATTGAAGGCCACATGTGTATGAAGATTTATGCAGACCTCAACATAAATCGTTTGGTTTGTTGGTTTCCATAAATATCAAGCTTACTAATAAAACCATTAGTACTAATAGAGTTGTTTTTAATTAATTCTGAATATTAATTTAAGATTGAGAAAATATAATTTATTTTCCAAATCTTAAAAATACTTTTGTATGCTGATATTTTTACATTAGAATACTAATCTGCGTAATTTGAAATTATCAGTTTATCTTTTGTTTAGCATGTTGGTATATAATCAGTATCACATAATATTGGAAATCAAAAGTAATGATTTGAAATTAAAAATAATAATAATAATACAAGGAACAATTTATAAGAATAAAAAAAAATTTAAGTCGTATTTTAAATTTTTAGAAACCTATATTAAATTATTTTCAATATTATAGAAATTATATTGTTTATATATATATATATATATATATATATATATATATATATATATATAATGGGCATTCAGAAGACGACTTTTTACAATTTTTTTAACCTTTGAGATGGTTCAGCTGCAACCATAGGCTACACCTCTCTACCTGAATTTTTGCATTAGGTTTAGCTACAGCCAAACCCTAATTATTTTCATTCATCTTTCTTCCTTCTGTTATTTTGATATCAACCTTATATTGTAAATTATTATTTTTTATAATTTTTCTGCAACTGCATATTTTTATAATGTTGTTCTAGAAAAAAGAAAGAAAAAACAAGGATTGTCATACTTAATACTAATAATTCTCCATATCAATGAATGGCATTGAATAAATTTAGGCAATTTACCACTAAACAAGTTTCAAAGTTCAATGTATTATCAATTAATTCACAAATAGCAACCATTTATTTTAATATATAATTATTAAAATTAATTATTATTTTAATTAATAAATTATTAAAATATAAATAAAATAATAATTCTTATTTTTAATAAAAAATAAATAAATACATCTTTTATAATTTATATATTAAATCATTATATTTTAAATAAAAATTAATTTCATTAATATAATTTTATTTTAAAATATATTTTATTTTTATTTATTTTTTTTAATTAATTTTTTTGATATATATATATATATATATATATTTAATTTTCAATTAAATCAAAATTAATCCGTTAATATATTAGTCTGCCATAAAGTTAACCTAAAAATTATGATTTTTTAAAATATTTATTAGAGCTAGAGTAATCATTTTGACAACTCTACATATATTAAAAAAACTTCGAACATCTCATCACATTAATAATGTCCTAAATGTTTCATCACATTAGTGTACCTAAACGAAATCTCTCATTAAATGATTTCATTTATGGAGAATTTTTCACTAATTCAAACATCTCAATACCTCTTACAGAAAATTAAAATGAGATGAATTAGATGAGAATTAATGGTTCGTTTTTATGTATAAAACTTTATTAGTTAGGTAGAAATTTTTAACAAACCAAAATATATGACTTTACTCAGCTCAGTTAAGTAGAAGCAAGAAAATTGAGCGATACAAGTTATTTAAAGTCGATAAAGACTCTTATCACTCTATGGGAGACGACTTTAATCATCTGAAAATAATACAATTAGCTGTTAGAATCGAAATGTGTTATAGGAAAAAATAATATTGTAAAATAATTCTTTAACTATACTTGTTAAAATAAAATTTTTAATATATCTCGATGAAAGAAAATTTTGTAAATATTTATTTGATAATAGTATATTCTTTTATATATGTTTATTATTTATATACATGTTCAAGTTTTATAATATTATTTTAACTATAATGACGATAATACATCATTAGGATAACATTTTCTTATCCTTTATCAAATCTTGGATTATACATTTCGTCCGTCTTCTTCCTTTCCTTGGCAATTTTATGATTATTAACACAATATTAAATATGCTTGTTTTTCTATTCTTAAAATATATTATTTTAAATTAATATACAAGTAGCGTATTAAATGTAGCTATTGTTCATACATTTGCATAATAACACGTACAAAGTTTTGTTTCATTCCTAATTTTATATTAAGTTTTGGTGTATTATTACATTTAGTATTGTTACAATATTTATGTTATTTATTCTTTTAATTTATCATATCACTAAATTTGTAAGTGAAAAATGATAAATATTAGAATTGTTAGAGATTTAAAATCCACACAAACAATGGTATCTTTCTATGAGAGTTTTTGACGGAAATAAATCTGTTATAAATAAAACTTATGGCATTCTTTGACATCTATGTTTGGTCACATATTCTAATGGAAAATAGTGTCACTAATTATGACGGAAAAACATCACAACACAATTAAGAGATACAAAATATATTTAACTGTCTTGATTCACAAGCAATCCTTTGACTTTTATGAAGTTGTGATAAAAATATTTTCAAAAACCCTTGGCTTGTATTGAATATATGATAGCACAATATATACATGAAATACAGAAACATTCTAGGCTATAATTGCGCTAACCATTATAGTCGGTATCCTAAATTTGTCTATTAACAGATATGACATTAATGTGCATCACTGTGCATCGCTGTCATGCCAAGCTAAATATGGAAAAAAATTAATCATGTAGAATCATGGCATGATACGGTATTTGTAATCGTATATTCTATGTTTATCACCCTCCCTCAAGATGGAGTATGAAGGTTATGAATGCCCAACTTGCCTAAAAAAGAACCAAATTTAGTGGCGCCAAGAGATTTGGTGAAGAGATCAGCCAGTTGATGATGAGTGGACACATAGGAGGGTTGGATATGATTGTGTTGTATTTCATCATGAATAAGATGACAATCCACTTCAATATGTTTTGTCCGTTCATGAAACATATGATTCTTGGCAATGTGAAGGGCAGCTTGGTTGTCACAGTAGAGAGTCATAGGGTCGGTGTGAGTAATGCCTAGGCTCGAAAGAAGGCCTTGAAGCCATTTCAACTCACATGTCGTGTTGGCCATAGAACGATATTCCGCCTCGACGGATGATCGAGAAACCGTATGTTGCTTCTTGGTTTTCCAGGAAACGGGGGATTGACCAAGGAAAATAAACCAACCGGTGAGAGATCTTCGAGTGAGAGGACAACTTGCCCAGTCCGAGTCACACCAACCATAAAGACGAAGGTCACTCTCTCTTTTAAAAGCACACCCCGACCCGGCTGCCCTTTAAATAGCGTACCACGCGGAGTGCAGCCCGCCAATGCTCCTGACGCGGTTGGTGCATGAATTGAGATAGGACATGAACACCGTAAGATAATTCAGGTCGTGTAAAACACAAGTAAATAAGGCGACCGACGAGGCGTCGATATTGACTCGGGTCGGAAAGTAGTTCGCCATCGCCCAATGCTAAACGATGATTTTCTTCGATTGGCGTGGACACGAGTTTCCCTCCAAGCAATCCTGCTTCAGCTATGATGTCCAACGCATACTTCCGTTGACACAAGAAAATTCCTGTAGGAGATCCGGCAACCTCCACCCCAAGAAAGTATTTTAATTTCCCTAAGTCCTTCATACGAAAACATTGATGAAGATAATCTTTGAATTGCGCAATGTCTTCATGATGATTGCCAGCAATGACTAGGTCATCCACGTAAACTAACACAACCAGTTCGACATCTCCTTTGCGAAAGATGAACAAGGAGTGATCGGACGAAGAACGTTGAAACCCATATTGAACAAGAGCGAGTTGAGAGCTTGGCAAACCAACACCGAGGAGCTTGACGAAGACCATAAAGGGACTTGCGGAGACGACACACCATACCCTTTTGAGACACCAAGAACCCTGGCGGCATTTTCATGTACACATCTTCCTCAAGATCGCCGTGCGAGAAAGCATTATGGACATCCATTTGATGGAGTTCCCGAGTCTTTGGCTACCGCCACTGCCAACACCTGTCCGAATGGTGACCATCTTTGCCACTGGGGCAAAGGTCTCGTCATAGTCAATCCCCTCAACTTGGTGATTTCCCAAGACAACTAATCGGGCTTTGAAGCGTTCAACGCTCCCATCGAATGATATTTGATTTTATAAATCCACTTGCAACCCGGAGGCTTCTTCCCTGCCGGTAGAGGAGTAATGTCCCATGTTTCATTACTTTGGAGGGCCCGAATTTCACTAGCCATGGCATCTCTCCATCTAACATCCCGAACAGCCTTCAAAGAAATGCACAGGTTCTCTCTCCGCATGAAGGGCTGCAAGAAAGGTTCGGTGGGGGAAGGAGAATTTGGCACAATTTAAGTACTTTGTCAAACTGTAAGGCATACCCGAGGAAGCTGAATGTGGAGTGCGAATTGAGGGACCGAGTTGTAAAGTGGTGTTAGTGACATAATCACGAAGCTTCACGAGATGGCTTTCGTACACGAAGACCTTTCCCCAGGGATGCAGGGACAGTATGCTCCTCGGGAACCTCTAGTTCTGTCATCATAGAGTCGGCTTGTTCCGGTGGGAGAACGATCCGGGTGGGAGGCTCTTGTTCATGGCATTCGGCGTGGCCCTCCCCGAACTCGGTTGTGGGCACATCTTCTGTTGTGGGGTTAACGTCATCGGTCTCCACAACGTGTTCTGCATTGTTCATTGCACCAAGTCCAGGCAATGCTTCCTCGACAATGCCAACATCAACGGTAAGCAATCCTACCTCCGAATGTCTACTGTGGGCAAGAGAGGCAAACGGGAATTCATGTTCTACAAACTTAACATCTCTCGAAGTCCGGAAGACTTCTCTTTCCGAGATCAAACAATTTCCAGCCCTTTTTTCGATTGAATATCCAACAAATACATTCTTGCGACTTCTACTTGCAAATTTGTCACCTTTCCTATCTTGGTTATGTGCATAACACAAGCATCCAAATACCCGTAGATGGTCATAAGTGGGTGGCTTCCCATTCAATATTTCATATGGAGTTTTTCCATGGAGAACGGTTGAGGGTGTACGATTGATCAAGTATCCTGCGGTCAAAATGCATTCTCCCCGAATTGAAGAGGAAGTTCTCCCCGAAATCGTAGAGCACGAGCTACATTTAGGATGTGTCGATGTTTTCGTTCGGCTCTCCCATTTTGCTGAGGTGTTCCGAGTGCATGAGGTTTGATGGAGTATCCCATGTTGCTGAAAATATCGTTGAAGACACATAAACTCAGTTCCATTGTCACTTCGTACTATTTTGACTTGTTTCTCGTATTGTCGCTCTATTAAGGCGATGAAATGCATTAAGGTTTGTGACACATCTTTCTTATTATTCAAGAGATATATCCACACAGCTCGAGAACAGTCATCAACCAAAGTGAGAAAGTAAGATGCACCACAAGACGAGGGAGTTCTATATGGACCCCATAAATCACAATGTATTAAATCAAATATATTGGATGCTTGAAAATCACTTAAAGAAAATGTGTTTCTGCATTGCTTTGATCTCTCACACACTTCACACACACGAGTTGTATCCGTATTTCTATTCACGCCTGTTCGGATGCGGAATTTTTCTAACAATCTGGTAGGCGAGGATGTCCCATTCGCTTGTGCCAAATCTCTAGTTGATTTTCCGCATTGGTCCGATACGCCTTTATGCCACTCACACCACGATACCAATAGAGTCCCTCTTTTCGTTCACCCGCTCCAATCGAGCATCCTCGAAGTGTGGTCCTGCATTGCACACAATCTATCGAGTAAAATGTACTTGTACATTTTACTTCATTCGTCAATTGTGATACTCGAAATCAAATTGCAATTCAATTTCGGAACATATAGAACATGTTTAAGTTTCAGTCCTCCATCAAGGAAAACCGATCCTTCTTTGTTTGCCGAGCACCAATTCACCATTTGGTAGTCCCACTGGGCACCCTTCCAAGGCTCGACTCTCCCTCAAGTTTTCTAGTGTTCCTGTCATATGATTAGAGGCACCACTATCAATAATCCACAAGTCACATGCTTTCTTACCAGTCATCTTTTCAGTTTCATTTGCCTTGCGAGAATTCAACATTCTTTGTCAAGATCTGCCATTGCTCATTACTCGATCCTGCGACTTCGGTTTTTCGGTTGAACCAACGTTATCCGCTCCAGTGTGCGCCATATTGACGCGAGCCGTTCCTCCTTTTCCTCGGAAGGTTCCTGTTCTTTGTTGATTTTTTTCATCGTTTCTATCGGTTCGTGGTCTCTCTCCCCACCATTCTGGGTAACCAATGATCTTGAAGCAATTGCCTTTGTCATGTCCCTTCCTTCCACACTCGCATGCAAACAACTGATTTTTCTTTTGCTTCATTGCGCAACTTGTTCCTGGTTTCCGCTCGCATAGCCATTCCCACGATCATTCCTCGCTCTTCTTTAGACCTGGTGATTGTTCTCACCCTTTCTTCTTGCACCATGGTGCCATACACCCGATTCAACGAGGGTAATGGATCTGTTGCCAAAACATTTGACCGTGCAGTTCCATAGCCCTCATCATCTAGCCCCATCAAGAATTGATGAATTTTTTCTTCTTCTCTTCGTTTCTCAAGTTGCGTCATAATATTACACTTGCATCCCCCACATCTACACTGTGGGATTTGCTCGTAATTTGCCAGTTCATCCCACAACGTTTTCAATTTCCCATAATAGGAAACCATAGTCATTCCTTGTTGTTTGCATTCCGCCAACTCGACTTTAGTCTGCTGGATTCTTGGTCCGTTCACGATCGAGAATCGTTCCTTGATGTCATCCCATAGGTCCTTTGCGTTTTCCATGTATGCAACAGTGGAACGCAAACTAGGTTCTATAGTGTTTAGTATCCAAGATACAAGCATCGATTGAATTGTCCACCAATCTTCTATCTCAGATGTGTCTTCTTCAGGTTCCTTATGAGTTCCATCTATGAAACCCCATTTCCTTCGAGCCCGCAGAGATATCTTCACGGCCCTTGCCCATTCCTCGTAATTCTCTCCTCGTAATTGTACCGTGTAATCACATTTCCAGGATTATCACTGGCACTCAGATCGTATGGTGATGGTGTTTTCTTCACCGTCTCTCCTCTCTCTGCCATTTTAGAAGTACGACTGTGTTCTCGGGCTGTTGGATATCAGAGTTTGGTTTGCTCTGATACCATGATAAAAATATTTCCAAAAACCCTTGGCTTGTATTGAATATGATAGCACAATATATACATGAAATACAGAAACATTCTAGGCTATAATTACGCTAACCATTATAGTCGGTATCCTAAATTTGTCTATTAACAGATATGACATTAATGTGCATCACTGTGCATCGCTGTCATGCCAAGCTAAATATGGAAAAAAATTAATCCTGTAGAATCATGGCATGATACGGTATTTGTAATCGTATATTCTATGTTTATCAAGTTGTGGCCAAATACTATTTCCGTTGACGATGATAACGATACAAAAGGATCAAATTGTGACCAAATATTTTGTAACATTTGTGTTATGTGAAGAATAATTTTCCATTAGATGGAATTTAGTTAATTTTGACGGATTTCGACCATCGTTAAAATTGTTTTTTTTTTTAAATGGTTTGAATAAATAATTTCTTAGTTTTTAATGTTTTTTACATATACACCGAGGTTAAACATTTTAATAAATTTTTAATAATTTAAATATAAATTTTCCATAAATTAACATTTTAAAATATATTCATTCCTATATCATGAAGTATTATATTATAGAATAAGTGACATTAACTTGGTACATGGTATGATGCAGAGTTTAAGGATATCCTGTTCTATCACTTTCTGATACGAACTTATTAGATAGTATAAACTGTTTCTGCATCGTATAAAAGATGTGTATCAGCTTTAGAGGCTTCTCGATCCTGGGACTGAATCCTACGCACCCTTCTTTCCATGCATGCTTGCTTCCCTATTCTGCAAATACAAACAACATTTCTGTTAACGTTCTAATACAAGACTACATCACGGTAACCCTAAATTTGTTATATTTGTTTTCTAAGCACGTTTGGTTGATGCATATGCATGTTTATTGTTTATATATGTGCTATGTATAAACTGGATTATGATGTTTACATATGTCCTACACATCCCTTGAATTTGAAAGGGGCAGATAAGAATTTATGGCGTGCTACATTATGAATAAAGACAACTAAATAATGAGGCTGGTACTTTTCCAATAAGCTTATTTTTCTGGTATGGTTTATCTTACCAGGATCGGTCGAGCAGTGACTGGTGTCAAATATAGGTCATCTTTTTTGAAAACAGTAAGTCCAAATTGCTCAGTCATATCCAAGTCCTCTTTTTTCATTCCATTAGGAAGCTTCCAATCGAAATGATACAACAAAAATGCAAGACTCAGCTCAACATTTATCAGACCAAGGGTGCTGCCTGGGCATATTCTTCTTCCAGCACCAAATGGAATGTACTCAAAGTTTGTCCCTTTATAATCAATCGGGTTATCAATGAACCTCTCTGGGTAAAACCTCTCTGGTTCAGTCCAGTAGCTTGAATCTCTCCCAATTGCCCAAGCATTCACAACTACCCTATGTTTGACTGGTATATGATACCCTTTAATCTCACATGTCTGTTCACAATCTCTGATGAATAGAGGAAGTGGTGGATGTAACCTTAGGGTCTCTTTGACAACTGACTTCAAATATTTGAGTTCATCAATGCAAATTTCGTCAACCCTTGCTTTCAAATCGAATGCGTCTCTCACCTCAATTTGTGCTTTGTTCATTACTCTTGGCTCCCTTATCATCTCTGCCATTGCCCATATGATGGTAGATGAAGATGTCTCACCTCCGCCAACAAACATGTCCTGCAAAGTACGTACTCATCAACTTTTGATTGGAAGATAAGCATTTAGGTTGTGAAAAATTGCACCTATAACAGACCATCCCTGTAATTGATTTTCTTATTATTAGTCATAACTCATTGATAATCCACTAAATAATTAGCGCTCACCTCGAAGGAATCAAATTCAGAAAGTATATGCTGAAGACGTACAATTTACTACACGAAAAATTGCCACATATTGCAAAACTTTGAAGATCCTACGTGAGATATATACTAGTGTAATAAGAATCAGGAGGAAAAGGTGTGAGACAATTTTATTAGAGTGAATCTAGTTTTGTTATCTGAATTGGAAAAAACAAAAAACACTTCTAGTCTTTTTCAAGTATTTGTAAAAGAATTTTACTAGTAGGAAAATAACATTTGAAATGCAGTAATTAATAATAAGTAAGATGGTAATAATTTTGTGATTAAAAAATATTATTAAAAAGAATTTTAACTTTTTTTTATGTCGCTTTTACTCCATATAAAAAATAGTTATATCGCTTCCAAGTAATATATTTGAATCAATATAAAAAACCATTTACGATAAAAATATAAACACATTTAACGCTCTTACTCTGACTTGTGTCGCAGCTACGTTGCCTTTTATATTTTTTGTGACACTTCAAATTTATTTATTTTTTGGTGGTGCCATCTAGTTCTTCTTCATTCTGAAGATTCAATTTTCTCATAGGGAAATCGCATTCTCTATCTGCAATTTTCGTATAGTTGGGTTTGTTTTTCCTCTTCATATAGGTATGATGAAATTTCATTTGTTTATATTAAGAACTTCTCAAAAGTAATACAAGTATATATATATATATATATATATATATATATATATATATATATATATATATATATATATATATATATATATATATAAATAACATCATAAAACAGAAAAGAAAAAAATTGTTATAACTAAAAATAATACAAAAAAAATAGAATTTATTATAGAAAAACAATTATGATAATACTCCTCCCCAACAAAACCTAACTTGGATGTAGAAATGTCAAAAACTATATGATAAAGAGGTTTAATAAAAGAATCCGCAAGCTGGTTGGAAGATAAAATAAGAAAAAGATGAATTAGGCCTTGTTAAATTTTTTCACGAACCACATGACAATTTATCTCGATGTGTTTACTATACTCATGAAATACAGGATTATGAGATAAGTAAATGACAGACTAATTATCACAATAGATTGCAGTAGGACCCAATGAAACATGAAGATTACGAAAAAGATAATGTAACTATTGAATTTCACAAGTGAGGTTGGCTAATACTCAATATTCTGCTTCGGAGGATGAACGAGAAACAGAAATAGTAGATTGCTTCTTGAATTTTCAGGAAATCAAGAAACAACCAAGGAAAACACAAAATTCGATGATCGAGGGGCAAGTATCCAAACAACATGCTCAGTCCGAATAAGCAAAAACAGAATGACGAATGTCAGCAGAGGTAGAGAAAAATAACCCTTAGGTATGTGAACCTTTTAAGTATCTAAGAACCCGGATAACAACTTTATAATGAACATCAAGAGGTTGAGTCATGAATTGACTAAGTTGTTGGACAAAAAATGTGCAATGTCAAGGTGCATAAGTGTGAGATATAAAAGTTTATCGACTAATCTGCGATAAGCAGTAGTATTGGAATACGATTGTCCATTATTAGTCTGAAGTTTAGTAGAGGGATCAGAAGGAGTGGTAGCAGAAGTTCAAGAGTATATTTACGTTCATGTGAATGCCGGACTTAGACCGTGCAATTCCTAATCCCAAAAATTAACGAAGAGCACCAAGATCTTTAATCTTGAATTTAGTATCCAAGACACATTTGATAGAATCAATTTCGTCCATATCATCACCAGCTAAGACAATGTCATCCACGTAAACTAATAAAGTTGTGAAAGAAGTGGAAATAACCTTGACAAACAAAGATTGATCAACGAAAGATTGTTTGTAATTGACAGATAAGCACTACAAGAAATATTAAAATTACTGACGGTCAAAATCCGTCTGTAAATGAATATTACCGACGAACCGGATCCGTCTGTAATAATTTTATTATTTATTAAATATTTTACTTATTTATAACATATTTTTTTTATTTTTGAATTAATGTCGATTAAGAGAAATGTCATTGACAGGATTCAAACCCAAGTACTTTAGAATCGTAGACTGATACTCCAACCACTAAGCTACTAGAATTTCTTGATAATAATTTACAAATAAATTATATTTATATACAAATATACAAATATATTTATATATATATATATATTTATATATATTTATATTTTTATATATTTTTATATTTATATATATATATATTTATATAATTAAATATTTATTTTTTAAAATTATTTAATTTAATAAATTATTATAAATTAATCTAATTATGATTAAATTAAATTATTAAATAAAAAAATATTTTATTTTTTAATTAGGTGAATAATTAAATTATATTATATAATTTTATCGACGGATATATCCGTCGGTAAATAATTGTTAATTTACATATGAATTTACCGACGGATATATTCGTCGGTAATTAATTGTTAATTTATCGACGGATTTACCGACGGATATATCCGTCGGTAAATTCATCTATAAACTACCGACGGATTTATCGACGGATATATCCGTCGGTAACTAATTATTATTTTACCGACGGATATATCCATCGGTAACATCAAATTCCACAAATATTTTATATCCGTCGGTAATTTCCGTCGGTAATGATTATTTTTCGACGGCTACAAATCAGTCGGTAAATATCCGTCGGTAATACGCGATTTTCTTGTAGTGAAAAGAGTGGTAAAAAGAATACTATGTCATTGTCTGCTAGCTTGCTTAAGTCCATATAACGACTTGTAAAATTTGTAAACCTGAGAAGAATCTGGTGGAAGCAAACAAGGTGGAGGGACCATATAGACTTCCTCATGAAGCTTTCCATGAAGAAAGACATTATTCACATCAAGTTGGTGCAGAAACCACCCTTGAACTGCTGTTATGGCTAGAAGAACACGAACAGTGGTAATCTTGATAACTAGGGAGAATGTTTCAAAATAATTCATTTCCTCTAATTGAGTGTAGCCCTTGACCGCTAAGCGGGTTTTGTATTTATCAACAATGTCATCTATATGATATTTAACCTTGTAAACCCATTTACAACCAATGAGACTCTTTCCTTTTGGGAGATCAACAATAGACCAAGTGTTATTTTGTTGTAAAGCCTGTAACTTAACATTCATAGCCTTTTACCAACCATACAATTTAGATGTTTGGGAGAAAGTAGTAGGTTAAAAAATGTTAGTAACAACAAAACAAAAAATTTTATAAGAGGAATTGCATTTGGAATAATAAAAAACTGAGGATAAGGGATGCAAACAAGTACCTATAAAAGGATGTGTGAACCTTATAGAAGCAACCGCGGAATCACAATGAAAATTTGTTAGGTAAGAGGGTGATCTGCGAGATCGAATGAAGTGTCTACTATGTGGCGAAGGCGGGACATGATGTGGATATGACCTATGACAAGGGCTAGAGTAAGGAAAGCAAATGAAGCTCATTAACAAGTATTGTTGGTTGACCAAATTATGTTTTGAATTAATCAGTTAATGGGTTTTAGTTTGATTTTGTTTTAAGTTGTAATAAGGGTCCAATTGAAAATTTAGTCATCAGCCTTTGGGAGACCAAGGGATGCATAGTTGATTGACTTTTGGTTGCCACAATTTCAGATATAATCAGTCATTAAGTAGTTTCAATTCCTAGGCTAATGGATCATTATTAGCCTTTATTTGTTTCCATTAAATAGTTTTCAATTTCTAGATTAATGAGTTATTATTAGTATTTATTTTCTTTTATTGAGTCTTTGTAATTCTGATGGCAATGCTTCTACATCAGCTGAACCATTTTAATCAAGAAATAACAAGTGAAATTTTATTCAGAAATATTAGAGTTTATCTCTTTTATCTTAGTGAGAGTGATTTTCCTAAATTCTTGAGTGATTCAAGAACCCTTGGTTGTATCAAAGGACTTTCACATCCTTTGTGTGTTGCCTCCCTTGGGAAGAGTGATTCTTTCCTTCCACCTTCTTTCTAATTCCTAAATTTCTTACAAGGTTCTAACCCTAAAGATCCTAAATTAGCCCTTGTGCAATTGAGATTCATATCATTTGGTACCGATTTAAGGGTTTAAACATCAAATTGATGACAGAAGAGGAAAATTACAATCAAGAAGTAGGAATTAGTCCATTTCAAAAGAGAGCATTGGTACAACATTTGGAAGAATTAATGATACGACATAACAATGAACTTCATGAACGATTAAACCGGTTGAAGAATAGAAATCTTGAAGACGAAGAAGAAAGGAGAAATAGGAGAAGAAATGATGGAGTAGTAAGACCAAGTAGGCTTGAAGGAGTCAAGCTTAGCATTCCTCCGTTTAAAGGAAAAAGTGATCTGGAGGCATACTTGGAGTGGGAGATGAATTATGAGGAGACCCAAAAGGTGAGGCTTGCAACAATGAAATTTTCTGACTATGCTCTTGTTTAGTGGAATAAGCTACAAAAGGAGAGAGATAGAAATGAAGAGTCAATGGTTGATACATGGACTGAGATGAAAAGGATCATGAGGAAGCGGTATGTGCCGGCTAGTTATGCAAGAGACTTGAAATTTAACTCCAAAAACTTACTCAAGGCAACAAGGGGGTTGAGGAGTATTTCAAAGAAATGGATATGCTCATGATTCAAGCAAAGATTGAAGAAGATGAAGAGGTAACTATGACTCGATTTATTGGTGGTTTAAATATTGATATATGTTATATTGTTGAGTTGTAGGAGTTTGTTGATATGAAAGATTTACTTCATAAAGCAATTTGAGTGGAACAACAACTCAAAAGAAAAGAAGTGACTAAGAAGAGTTCTACCAACTTTGGATTTTCAAGTTGGAAGGACTAAGGCAAGAAAGATGAGACTGTTACTTCTAGTAGTTTCACACCTATTCCTACAAAGACATTCAAAATATGAAGAACAACCCTCTAAAAAAGGTAGAGATGTAAAGTGTTTCAAGTGTCAAGGCTTAAGACACTATGTTTATGAGTGCCCTAACACAAAAACCATGGTTCTTAGAGAGGGAGAATATATAAGTGAATC